ATTTCTCTTCATCATCAAGAAACACAATCTAATATTTTATCTAGAGGAGGGCAAAAATTATATAACTTTTTTAAAAACAAAGTTAAGCGAACTGCATATAATATCCCTACATTGTGTGATACATCTGGTAAAATTTATTCGACCGACTTAGATAAATGTAATCTTTTTGCCGAATATTTTAAAACTCATTTTAAATCATCACTCGAAACTCCTTGTTTCAATTCTCGTGATTCTGATTTCAATGACATAGTTTTTGATTTTCTTCAGATTTCTAAACTCTTATCTAAATATCCCTCTAAAGACTCAAATTCACCAGATGGTATTCCTTATGCTCTATTAAAGAACTCTGCTCATACTTTATCACCAATCATATGTGAAATTTTTCGAATTATTTTAGACAATGGGGAGATACCATCTATATGGAAAACTTCTATTGTCATTCCTATATTTAAAAATGGAGATAAATGTCTTCCATCAAATTACAGGCCAATTTCCTTAACCTCGACCCTATGTAGAACATTAGAGAGAATATTGAAGTATAATATACTAGAGTATTTGAATTCAATGAATTTCTTTTCAAAGGATCAATTTGGATTTTTAGGAGGTCGGTCGACTACAACTCAGCTTCTTTCTATGTATCATGAGCTATATAATGCTAGGCTTACAAATAAGTGTGTCGATGTTATATATATTGATCTATCTAAAGCATTCGATACTGTACCAATCGGCAAATTACTTGAAAAGATATCTTCCTTAGGAATTGGTGGTAAAATCTATAAATTTATCTATAATTTTCTTACTGATCGTAGCTTTCGGATCAAAATAGGTAGTAAATTTTCCGATTATTTTTCTGTTCCATCAGGCGTTCCCCAAGGGAGTGTTTTAGGTCCGTTATTGTTTCTAATATTTATCAATGATCTCCCAAATTATATACCAGAAAACGTTCATATTAAAATGTACGCCGATGATATTAAACTATATGTTATCCACAATAATGACTCAAATAGGGACTATTTAGAAAAGGCTCTTAAATCGATTGAAACCTGGACTAAAGAAAACCACATGGAAATTTCAATTAATAAATGTTCGGTATTACATATTGGCAACAATAACTCTTCACAATCTTATTTATTAAACGATAAAGTAATCCAGGTAGCCGATTGCATTAGAGATTTAGGAGTTATAATTGATAATAATTTTTCTTTCTCATTCCATATTGATTACATAATTAAAAAGACATACTCCTTAATACATCTATTTTTTAAATTTATTAAAGTCCGAATATTAAAAATATGGGTTCTCATCTATAAAATATATATTAGGCCAAATTTGGAATATGCATCTCAAGTTTGGAGTCCGCAAAATAATAAGGAGATAATTAAAATAGAAAAGGTCCAAAAAATGTTTACGAGAGTTATTCTTAAGAAATGTGGCTTAGCACCCCGACCTTATCCAGAAAGACTTAATGTTTGTCAGCTTAGACAGTTGAGCAGTAGAAGGGCGTCTGCCGATTTATGCATGGTCTTTAAAATTATTAAGAATACCACTAATCTTATTCCTACCGATTTCTTTACTTTTTCTAAGCGCTGTAGCCGAAAACCGCATTTTATACTTAATTCAAAATATGATTTTAGAAATAAGCAAGATTTCTTTATTAGAATGATACTTAAATGGAATAGTTTGCCTGCTGAAATTACAAAGTTATCCAACATTAAAAATTTTAAGAAAAGTATTGACACCCTAGTTCAGTAACTAACTTTGAATGGCTCCTATCCTATACTATTAATATATAAATTTATTTTTTTTAAATAATTTTATGATAATTTGACTTAGCCCATTGACCAAATTACCTTTTAATTTATTTTTTTTAAATTTTTCGTAATTTAATTTTTTTTTATTAATTTTATCGCTTTTATTGTATTTCCACGTAAGAGTACAATTATTTGTACCTGTGGTTGCTCAGAATAAATAAATAAAAAAAAATAAATAAAAATAAAAATAATTTTTGAAATTCAATTTTAATTTTAAATATTCTTCCAATTTTATTAATAAAAAATATATATTATTTTGATTGAGAAATTTTGTTATTTTTCTTTTAATAAAAATAATTTTTTTCAGTAAAAATAATCCCCGCCTTTTTTTTGGCTTGATATTTTATTTGAATAATAATTTATATTTTATTTTTTTGTTAGGCAATTTGTTTACTTAAGAAAATCATTTTTAATGGGGAAGATAAATAATTGCCATGTTGAAGAAAAGAATAACTGCGATTCAAATAAGGGGGCGGCATATCAAAAAGCGGCATCTATCATATTATAACACAATTTTGTTTGAGATATCATTTCAGTCTGTTCTCTAGTTATGGGGGCAAGTCTTAGCTGTAGTAAAATTTAATGTTATTATTTAGACGAGACTGGGAGGGTCATACGTAGTCCAATTGTTTTTTTCATTTCGTCCAATTGTTTTTTTCATTTCATTCCAATTGTTTTTTTCATTTCATTCCAATTGTTTTTTTCATTAAAAAAACAGGCCATAAATAAATTTTAAAGCAAATTTTGTTATCGAAAATGTATTGTCAATATTCATTGTAATTAAAACAAAATAACAGAATTTCTAGTTTAGTGGTTTTATCTTTCGATATTTCCTCATTAAAGATAAACCAATGCTACACTACCTCATTTTAAGATACACTTTACCGTATATGCTCGAATAATTACCCACTCAAATAATTCCCATTTTAATAATTGCCCCTAACTTTCTTGCATAAAGCTTAAATATATTGAAAAAATCATTGTCAATTTTAATTATTGAAACAGTTTATTAATCATTATCAAAAAATAAATCAATTCGCTACTCGATTCATTGAGATATACCCCAAATTTAGCAACTACTCTCGATTAATCACCCCCTCAAGCGAAAGGTCGAAACAATAATTACCCAGGGTAATTATCCGAACATTTGCGACTTGAAAAATTTTATTTCCTTACCAATATTATCATATGGGACTCTTGAGTCTCTTCTGAGACTTGAAAAATTTTATTTCCTTACCAAATATTATCATATGGGACTCTTGAGTCTCTTCTGAGACTTGAAAAATTTTATTTCCTTACCAAATATTATCATATGGGACTCTTGAGTCTCTTCTGAGACTTGAAAAATTTTATTTCCTTACCAAATATTATCATATGGGACTCTTGAGTCTCTTCTGAGACTTGAAAAATTTTATTTCCTTACCAAATATTATCATATGGGACTCTTGAGTCTCTTCTGAGACTTGAAAAATTTTATTTCCTTACCAAATATTATCATATGGGACTCTTGAGTCTCTTCTGAGACTTGAAAAATTTTATTTCCTTACTAAAGCAGGCTGTGATATGAATTTAACAAATTTCACGTAAAAAAATACGCGATAACAAATCACTGGTCAGCTTTAGGTGTACAGGCCAAGCCAATAAAAAACTGCTGCTCAATCGAAGAGCAATAAGGCCCATAGATGGAAGCTAAAGAGATATTAGACTGAGATAAGAATGGATTATAGCTCAATCGAAGAGCAATAAGGCCCATAGATGGACTGAAGCAATTTCATGCTCACAAGATTGGGTGAACACAAAACGTCATCTAGGTCTTCCGTAGGTCTTCCGAACGTCATCTAGGTCTTCTATTTGGTCATCTAGGTCTTCCGAAGTGCCCTAATGCCCATAGATGAAAGCTAACCTTATAATATCGTTAGCGAAGACGATAAAAATATAATGATTTTGAATTAATCATCATTTTTTGTTTTTAAAGGGATATGGGAAAATTATTGAATTTCTAGTTTTTATATAATTCTTTTTAGTATAATTTTTTTAGTATACCTATCTATAACCTCTTTTACATTTTCATGAACACACTTGAAATTTAACGTTTATTTCCTTTAATAATGAGATCATTCAAGTTTACTAGAATAGAAATTCTTCAAAGGTACTATAAGGGTAAATAAGAACGAAATTCAAGTAGAAGAAATTTAAATTTATTTCCTGTTGCAATAGCTACTAATTCGACAAAAAGTAGCAAATAATCTCATCTTTTTTGTATTTTCCATTAAAATTAATTTTAGAAATTTTTTTGTGTTTTTTTTTGTCTGTTAACAGACTAGGGTATTGTACGCTAAAGCAGGCTGTGATATGAATTTAACAAATTTCACGCAAAAAAATACGCGATAACAAATCACTGGTCAGCTTTAGGCGTACAGGCCAAGCCAATTAAAAAATTATTTTTTTTGAACTTCTTTTGATGTTTAAAAATAAATTCGAGAAGTAATCTAGCTAAATGCGAACGCCGAAAAACAGAGTAGATGACACGTCTTTTTTAAAATTTGAGTATAATTCGGATGGCTAAAAAAGAAAATTCTTTTTAACCAAATACCGAAATTATATCAACACGTCTCAACTACCCATGTCTTTCAGCACTAACATTAACCTTTTTTTTAATTGAAAAAAAATTTTTTTTGGAAGAAAAGGATGTTGAAATTAGTTGAAAAATTGAAAATTACTGTTTTCTAATAGAAAAAAATTTATTTAAAGAAGAATCGTAATTTTAAAGAAAATTTTGAGTATTTTAACTGAGTCAGCCGAATCTCGCTAATACGACTCCCATGATAACACGAATGACTGACTACCTGATAACACTTTCATTTATATCGATCAGCCCGGATCCGAGGTGTTAATCTTGGTCTTGATTAGACTGGCATTCATACGTCGGCTCAGTTCGGCCTGAGTATGAAGTATTAGCGAGATTCCTCTACATATTTATCGATAAAAATTAAAATAAAATTTTATATTTCGCTACAAAATTTTTTATAATAAATTTGTGAACTAAGAAAAAATATTTTAAAATTATTTTAACTGCATGGAAGTATTTTTAATTTTTGGAGAACTAAAAAAAATTTCATAAAAAAATTTAGGCAAAAATCAATTTTTAGTGTAGTATATATTTTATTTTTTGTTTGCCTCTCTAACCTTTTAAACAAACAAAAAAAAACAAATAAAAACAAAATGACGAACAGTTTCAAGCGTAAAAAATGGAAAAGCATTGATTTTTATTAGATATGTATTATTTACATGCGTTCGGCTGGCTTGGATAAAACGAAAAAAATGAGAAAAATTGAAGAAAAGAAACTTAAACCCCCCCCCCCCCAACTTACCGCAGAGCTTATAACCTCGTTCAGAATTGTCGAATCCGGGACGCTCTGGTATGGTTCGATTCAGCTCGTCGAGGCGCATCGAAACATACCATGGTGTCCCGGATTCGACGATTCTAAACGAAGTTAATAGCTTTGCGGTAAGTTGGCCTGCTCCCAAAAAAAGGATGTTTTAAAATAAATTAAAATTGGAGACAATTAAAAATAAAAAAAATTCCACAAAGTTTTTTAAAGAAAAAAGAACGTCAAAAAAATTTTTTTGTTAGGAAATAAATAAAATGTCACGCGAGTCAAAGGGGAGATTGACATAAAGGCATTGAAGGCACAAAGAGATGTAGTAACAAAAAAGGGATTCTGGGGGGATTTTTTTTGTTAAAGGAAAAAAAGGAAATTGACAGATGTGCCCCCCCCCTTTCACTAAAAAATTCACCCCTTCTAGGTCTCTCCGAACATCTTTCCCTTTTTCTCCCCCAGTGTGGGGAACAAAACCTTTGGAGGTTTTTAAGGATGGTTGTGTGGGGAAAGAAAGATAGAGCTTTTTTTTTATTTTTTTCTTGGCCCTTTCTTCTTTTTTTAAGTTAGAGTTTTTGAGGGCAGACTTGGGGGAAAGGAGGAGAATTTAGGAGAAAAAAAATATTTTTCCCTACTATTTTTACTTCTGCCTTACTATCACCCCTTCAATTCGTCTACTATCACTTTTCCCCTTTCTCTCCTCTATTTTCTTTTAAAAAAACTTTGAGCACCGTTCTATTTCAAGTGTATACATTTTTCTTTTTCATCTAAAAAGTAGTCCCATTTTTTACTTGGTTGGTTGCCCTCGACGCCCCTGGGGGATTGGGACAGCGCCACCATCAAATGGATTGAAAGGGAAAAGAGAGGAGAAGAAAGGGGAGAGGATGAGAGGAAGATATAAAAGGCGAACGGAAAATTGAGATGAAAAGAAAAAAAAGAAAAAGAGAACGGAAAAAAATTGTTGGGGTAAAATGGCGAAAAACTAAAAAAAAAAATTGAAAAAGAAATTCCCCCTAGAAAATAATTGGTGGAAGCTAAATGCTTATATTTAATGCTCTTAGAGCGAGGCAATAACAGAGGAGGTATTGTTGATTAAAAAATTTTTTGGAAAATTTTGGGGACGGACCTCACTCAAGATACATACCTTGACCTAAAAAACGTCTCTTATAATGAAGTGTATCTTAAATAGAGAGTATTGCTTAAGCGATATTTTGAAGGAGTTGAAGGAAAAAATTTTTGAGAGTCTTTTGCAATTTTCCTCTATCTAGTGGATAAATAAACCTTAAAATGTATCTCAAATCGAGGTGTCCCTTATAGAGAGATTCGACTAGATTGAGGCTTAACTAATTAAAAACGGTGTACGGACATATCGGAACCGTTTGTTCTAAAACATAAAAACTCTATTCCCAATAGGACAATATACTATCAAAGACTCAGTGGCCGTAGGTCTCGAAATCAGTAGGGTAACTGTTCGAACATTGAAATATCCCGATATGTCCGCGTGCCTTAAAAACCCTCCTATTAAAATGTAAAGGCTAAGAAATTAATGCCAGCCCCTTCAACTCCTTACTATTAAAATTTCAAGTAGAACATCAATTATTTACAAGACAAATACTCGATTATATATATCGAAGCAAACAACTCAATTTTTTATAAAAATTTTTTTCAAGATTTTGAATTTATATTTTTAAATGGTCTTTAATTCTTTTAAATTTAAAATAAAATTTCAGACATTTTAAACAAAAAAAATAAAAATGTATACACATAAAAATTGATTTTACAAAAATTGTAGTAAAATAAACAATATGTGTTTGTGTGTAGAAGAAGGGAGAAGAACACATTAAAATGTGTTCGATTAGAAAAGTAAACAAAAATACTGCCAAAAAGAGAAAATTGAAAAGAGAAGAAAGAGAAAAATTTTTAGGGAAAAAACTATATAGTCAGTTGTCGATGCTGGCAGTTAAAAAACGATGAAAAAAATGGAGAAGGGGGGGGGGAAGCTGGTGGAACGCGAACTCATTTTTTTTTATTTATTTCAATGTCAGTAGTTGTGTTTATCTCTTCCCCTCTCTTTTTTATTTATTTTTTATGTGTTTACTTTCCGGAAAAAATTAGAGAAAAATATAAGTTAGAGAAAAGGAGAAATAGTGTGGAAAATAGAAGAAATTTTGAGAGAGTGACAGACAACAAAAATAAATTTTTTGGCCATTTCTTTTCTCTAAAATTCTAACGAATTTCTTCATCTTTTTTATCATCTATTATGGCAATTTTGAATTCTCTATTTCTGTGTGTCATTGTTTGGGGGAACAGAAAAACGAAGGAAAAAAATGAAAAATTAAGAAATTTAAGGATTAACTATTTTTTTTATTCTTGAAAAAAAATTCGAAATTTAAATATTTTTAATATCTTCTGCATAGTTGTACATAGACTTCTAAATACTGCTTAAAATCACAAGAAATATGGTAGCTTTCCAGAACGTTGCGGACAACGGCAATAACTTGAATAGAAAATTTTTTTAAAATTATATTGGCATTCTGTCACATCCGTTACCTTGCATCAGTTCCTGGCCCTCCTCCATCGCCACTATTGCCGGGTGGCCCTAAATAACAGTAAGAAAAATTCAGAAAAAATTTGAAATACCTTCTTTTCCTTGATCTCCTCGTTCGCCCATATTTCCAGGTGGTCCTCTTGCCCCAGGCATTCCTGGCTTTCCGTCAGGTCCTGAATGCCCGGGAACTCCTTGAGGACCTTTTTGCCCTTTCGTACCTAAATTAATTGATATTTTATTTTCATCAGTACCACTTCCTCACCAGGTGCGCCCACTTCGCCTTTTCCACCAGTAGAGCCATTCCGACCTGGACTTCCTGCTGGCCCAGCTTTTCCTGGCATTCCTGCTTCTCCATGTATTCCTTGTGGCCCAGGCGGTCCTGGATGTCCAGGCAATCCCTTCGGGCCCGGCTCTCCGTCTGTGCCAGGCTTTCCATCTTCGCCACGTTCGCCTGGTGGACCGGGATAACCTGGAGGACCGTTTGGGCACATTCTGTCAAGATTTATTTTTCTTCTTAGAATATCATTTAACAATACCTGCAATTCACTTCTCCTTGTTGAATCATAACAGGAGGGCTACAGCCGTGCTGACCAGTTGGGCCAGGCGTCCCTTAATTCATTCAATTTTTCTCGACCAAAAATCCTTTTTAACCCAACCAGGTTTTCCTGCCTCCCCATCCATTCCAGGCTTTCCTTTCGGCCCAGGAGGACCTGGAGGGCACTTATTTTCTGCCAGGCAGGAGCACTGTCCAGCAACAGTTGTCCCACTTACCCCACCGGAGTAATCGTTTGTTTGTCTTCTTTGTCTCTTCAAAAAGAGGTGTTACTTAAGGGTACTAAAAATTCCAAAACTCTAATTTTATCAAGAAGAAAAGTGCCAATATTTTCATTTTGTCCAATCCCTTTATTCTCTCCCCCTATAAAATTAGCTTTTTCCCATATTCTAGATTGAAGTTTGTTAAATTCCGCCATTTCCTTCAAAATAAATTTTTAAAAATAAATTCAAATAAAAAAATTTTTACAGCTTCCAAGTCCTCAGTAATTTTATTAATTTTCCCGATTAATGCCGGAATGAAAAATGCACAACAGGCTAAGGCAGCTACTGAAAGGAGGACGGATAGATTTGATGCTAATTTTGTTAAATACATTTTTAGAGGGATTTTGGAAGATTTTTGGGAGGATTTTTGGAAGAATTTTTGGGAGGATTTTTAGTCTTATTTTTAAATAAAAATAAAATAAAAATAACCAGTTAAACGTGATCAGTTACATCCTCCTTTTCTCGTATACTTTTACATTTATGCGAAAAGATGCGCGCTTTATTGCTAACCATTTATACTTCTATTACAATAGCCACAAAAACAACTTTAAATGTTTCGTAGGGGCAATAAAGAAAGAGATAAATAAAGAAACTTTTTTCAGAAAAAGTTGGCAAAAAAATTAATTAAAAATAAAACTTGTTGGGAAACAGGTAGAGAGAATAGTTGTGGTAATTCTGATTTTAATTCTGGTTTTAAGTTTTACAGACAAGTTTTAATTAGGTATTCAATGTAGAGACCGGCGCGGAAGGGGATCCCGACAGGATTTTTTGGGATCCCGAAATCCCGGATTTTTTTGAGTTTCGAGATTTATCCCTTGGGATCCCGTCCCGGCAACGATTAAGAAAAAATCCCAACTTGGGATCGCGGAAGTGCGATTTTGCCGGTCTCTAATTCAAAGTTTAATTCTGATTCTATGTTGAAAAGAATATTTATTAACACAACTAGAACACAGACTAAAATTTATTTAAGTAACGAATGTTGAAATAATCAACAAAAAATTTGACTACGTACATTATTTGTTAAGCAAAACGGTATTTTCTGAAACAGTCGGATCTCGAATTTAGATATCCCCAAAATTAGAAGCACCTCGATTTTATAAATTTAGTTGGCCACTAAATGGGATTGGGTGATCTCAATTTAAGATAAAAAAAGAAAAGAGATTTTTTGAAAAAAATAATTTTACTATAAAAGCCTTTAAATATAATTCATTAGCTGTTAGTTTGTTCAAAGTATTTTCTATTGTTTTGTCAAATGTCTTCTGTAATGTCGAACAGTTATAGGGCAAGTTTTATTTTTTATTTTCTTTCAAGGAATATTTGAAAAATTTTTTTAACTATTTTTCTTTTTTCTTTGGCATTCTGTTTTAAATCGGGCCACTAAAGTCCCTCATTTTTGCCTCATAATTGTTGATGGGGAATGAGGTTCCCCATTGTTTGTCGGCTTTTTGATTACTTTTTCTTCAAGTTTAGCTAGGTTCTGACTTCTAATTTGGAAAATTTTTCGGAAATCCTCTTCCTTTAGGAAAATCTTTTTAGGGAGAAAAAGTCAGGGGTCTTTCAATTTTTAATCCTTTCTATTTTTAGGATCTCAACAACAGTAATTATACTTGTGATGAGTTACCTCCAAGTTCGATTATAAAATGGCCAGGTGTGCATCTGATTAGTATTGATTCGATCAAAGACGCCAAAATTGGTGCTGGAATCGAGAATTCTGTGGATGGTGTGCGCACTGTTGGAATTATTTTGCAAATAAATGAAGAGGGAGTAATTACTGGAATTAATGAATGTTGTAGTTCTGGAAAGGAAAATCTGCGCTTTAAGCTTAAAAATGTTGATTTGGTTGTTAAACGAAGCGAGCGTTATGATGGCAAATTTAATAATGATGAGGTAGTTTTGTATATTTTTTATACAGGCGGGTCTTCAGTAATATTAAGGTGGGGTCTCCTCTAAGAGCACATCTATGTAATAGACGTTCTCTAAAACCTGGGTTGGTCTCTGGGTGGAAAAGCTGCCTAAGGAAGGGGGAGGGGGAAGCTGCCTAATGCGCTATTAAATCTAAGTCTCTTGGGTTGGTCATTGTAAGGGGAAGGAGAAGCTATCCTCTATTTAAGATACACCTCATTATAGACGACGACTTTTTTCTACCCCAAGGGTGTACCTCATAATAAAATCTGCCCTAATATTTTTTATTTTTTTCAAAAAGAATATTGAACGTCTCGTTTTGGAAGTCAAGCCATTCAGTCGTTTACCCACATCTTCTTGGAAAGCTCTAATTCAAGCGCGTTTGTATGTTGCAGAATATGGTGGTTCTTTTCGTTTGGTGATGGGGGAAGTGTTTGAATTGTCGACAAATAGTTCTGACCCTCCTTTGGAATTGAGAATTGATCAGAAAATATTTGCAATTAAATTGGAAATGCGTTACATAAATGAAGTAAGATTTTAAAAATTTAATTTTCTTAAAAATTTTTTAAAAGTATTATCGCGAGATGCCTTTGTTCAAAGATGGAGATTTGGAAGTTTTTGCTACTAAATATGATCCGGAGCCTTTTGCTTGGGTTCATCGTGCTTTGTTAGCATTGTACACGCCAAGATTGGGTATTTCTTTTTTAAAAATAATTTCTACAAATTGGGGGATGGGGTGTTGTTTTTGCGGATTTTTCTTGCGACTTTTTTGTAGACTTCTTTTTTGGGCTTTTTAGAGGACTTGAAACCTTTCTGGAGAAGAAAAATCGGCATATCAGCAAATTCGACACCTCATTCTTTATCCTCCTTAATGCCTAAACGCCAAAGACCAAACCTCCAAAAGCCGTTTGTTGATATTCGAGGTTGGCAAAATCGCATTTCCGGGATCCCAATTCGGGATTTTTTTCTTAACCGATGCCGGGACGGGATTCTGAGGGATAAATCCTGATAACTCCCAGATCCCATAAATCAAAAATCCGGGATTTCGGGATCCCGGAAAATCCCGTCGGGATCCCGCCCCGACCTCTACTTGTTATTTTGTCGTTTCTTCGGATGGCTTATGAAGTTTTGCTATTTCGACATTTGATATTAGACTCCCTTCATTTTTAAATCCTTTAATTTATTCTCCTTTAAAAAGTTTTGTCTGATGATGGAACAGTGCTCAATAATCGAATTGTTTTGAAAGACCATGATATCACCAAAGAACAGTTTAACGAACTTTTGTATCAAATCTATCGAACAGGACGTCCAATCTCTTCAAATTTGGAAAATCTTTCAATTGCCGCCACAAAATTGGATTGTGAATTAATTCTTTGGAAATTGTGTCGATTTATGGCTGGCAATTCTGATGAATTAAATTTTATTGAAAAAGTTAGGAAGTCTGCAAAATTGGGGTTAAACGAGGCAATTAAACAAATTAGCTATAATGTTGTGAAAACAGGCGAATGGGAAATGTTACAAAATGGAGGTTTTGATGCGCGTGAATGTTTTGGTCAAAAGATTTATTGTAATTATGTTTTGCCTGCAATTGTTGAGGTTTTCTTTTTTAAATTTTATTTTTTAAACGGAAAAGTACTTTTTGGGGCCCTTCTCTCATTTCTCCTTTTTTCATTTCCTTTCGCCTTAGAGTAGTTCAACTGAGTCCTTGTCCTATAACTCAAGAAGAGCTTGATAATTTCTAACTTTCTTGGCACCAATGTATAGTAAATTAAGTACGTTACGAGATACCAGGGAAAATCGAAGATCGACTGACTGATGAAAAATTTTAAGATCTAAAAACTAAAATTTTCAAAAAAATGTGACTTTTCGGAACTCTATCGATCATAACTTTTTTTCCATTAGTGCCAAGAAGATTAAAATTATCTGCTCGTTCTTGAGGTATGGGGGCTAGGATTGTCAGCTGAACCGGGAGTTGTTTGTTTTTTTAATTAGATTTTAAAAAGGAAAGTAAGAAAAAAAAGAAAATGGAGGAGGATACCAAAAAATATCCAAATAAATTTCTTTTTCATTTTTAAGGCAATCAACGATAAAAATAATGTTAACAATTCTTTTCTTCGTGCCTGTTTATACGAACAAAAACATAAATGTCCAGTGCCTGGTTTTGATAGTCCATATGAAGCAAGTAATCCATTCAACGCTAGTATCGAATTGGATAATAAGAAGTTCATTTATGTGAATATTGGAATTCTACAAGCGAATGGATGTTTGGAAAAATTTGCGGGATTTGATGGATCTGGTAAATTTTCTTGATAAATTTAGATTTCCAATATGAATGTAGAGTAAGTGTTGTAGGCAAAAGGGGAAATTGATCCTGGGATCTCCTGACAGATATTTCTAGGCGATTTGGTTTACAGTTGCTTGAACTACTTATCGTTAGATGATGGTTTCTCCCTTTCCTAAGAATTTTAAAATGATTTTCCTTTTCTTAACATTACTGTGAGTGTTATGAGTTGATATTTTCAAAAATATTTTTAAAATTCAAAGACCCTCACAAATTGATTAAAATTTTTCTAATTTTATAGGAATGAAATTTGGTCAATTAAAACTTCGTCCAATAATTTCTTCCAATTTGAAAGCAGAAATGGAATATAATCAACTTCGTTTAGAGCAAGTTCTCTCTCCTTTGTTGGCGCTTATGTATGGGACTGGAGACAATGTACCTAACAATTTAATTCGTTCTTGTCTTATATTTGCTTGTGACCATGGAATGAAAAAAATTGTTAAGGAATTGGAAGAGGTTTGGAAAGAATTTTTGTTTTTAAATTTATTTTTTATTATAGATGATTTGTAATGAATTAATTACTGGACCTAATATTCTGCTTAATCATTTCCAATTTGCTGAGAGATATCATTTGAAGAATTTGGAACGATTTTCTCTGTGGCAATTGGAATGTGAAGAGTAAATAAATTTATTAATTAACCTCGGTGTAAGACACACAATTGGGGCTGAATAAATACTCATAATGGGGTGTCCTTTAGATAGAGGGTATCGCTTAGATGGCCCCTTCAACCGACTTTTATGAACGTATCTCAAATATAAGTATATCTAATATTGTGAGTATATTATATAGAGGGTATCTTATATGAGGTGTCTTTTAAATTGTAAGTATCTTAGGCAGCTCCCCATCCGATGACCACCCAAACTTTTTAAGAGATTTCTCAAACGGGGGTGTATCTAATATCGGGGGTATCTTATAGTGAGGGTTGATTTTAATTTATTTTTTAAGGTATCACAAATTAGGACTTGCACTGCTCGAATTAGAAGATTACAACAAACTTGGAAAAAATATGCGATATAATATTGAGGATCGTCTTTGTAGTGGTTGGGGTGTTTATAACAAATCTTTGGCTAAACGGTAAATTTTTAATCTAATTCAGAAAAAAATTTTTTATTTTTCAAGTGAAAAGAGTGGAATTATTCGTTTTGTGTTAAACACCCAATCTTGTGAGCCTGAAACTGCTTCAGTCAAAAACGATGATCTTTGTACTGTGGTGACTGAAAACGAGGCTGAATTCGATGCTTACCAGCATGAGCTTGGTACTGAAGTATAGGAGAATAAATAAATAGGGATAGGAAAAAAATAGGGAAAGATAATCCTTAAATAAATATAATTATTGTGTAGGTATTTAAATAATATATTATAATTTCTTTCCCTTATGGCTTTAAATTAGCCTATGTACATATATATTTTTTGTATTATTTCTATATGTTGTATGTATTTATGTGTGTTTGTTCGTTATTTTTAATAAAGTTGGTCTATGCTTGAGAATGAAAGTAAACCATCATCGAGTTGAATGGTTATTTATGGTTTAGGCTGGGCTCATTCCACTATTGTTCTAGTCTATCTCCCATCCAATGAATTTTCCCACAGCTTAAAAATAATACAAGTAAAAAACTTAGGTAATAATGAAGAACATTAGTCCCTAGAAAAAATTAAGAACTTACCTTACTTTTTTCTAATAATCAGACCTCATTATGTTGTAAGTCAGTGGGGCTAAAAGCCTGTAGCTTATAGTGAAGGATATACCTTAAAAGGGTGTATAGTTTTTGACGCTTCCTTCACCGGACGATCAAATTTTACAAATATGTATCTCTTAAATAGGGGTTATTTAGTATTGGGTGTATTTTAATAAAGTCTGACATTAATCACTTCAAATAAACTCGTTATAATTCAATCAAAAATTAAAAATTTAATTAAAAAAATGTTGAATGGACTTTTGGTAAGCTTCTAGCTCTGGTAATCTAGCTTTATGATCAAATCAACGGATTCATACAGCTAAATGACCAAAGCTATAAACACACGCTGCCCGTTTAAAATATAAATATTAAATTAATTTTCTGATAGGTTGTTGTTAAACAAAAAGAGAATTTTTTTAATAATAACAAAATTTTAAATTTAATCGCTGTACTGAAAACGTGGTTTTTAGGGGCTAAATTAACTAGAAAAGATAAAATAATAAAAGAAAATAATATTAAAAGGTAAAATGGCAACGGAAACGTCGAGAATTTTTGCGCCGCTACCACTACCATCCTTCCCCAAAATTGATAGGTTTGGTTGGGTGGTAGTTTTTGAAGAGGAGGAAAGAAAGGTAAAAAGACAACGGAAGAGGAAGAAAAGAGGGGGATGTGTCGATTAATGAGAAAAATTTAGAAGGAAAAATGGGGGGAAAGGCTAATTTGGAAGGAAAGGGAGGAGAGGGGGGGGGGGAAGAAAAAGGTAAGAAAGGTACCCCTTCCTCTCCCCTTAACTTTTTTTTTGAATAAAGAGGCACATGGAAAGATGAAAGAAATATTTGGGTAAAGATTGGAGATTGAGCAATGTTGAAGGTTAAATATTAAATGGGGAGAAGAGTAAAGGTAGAGAAGAAGAAAAGATTGTTATCTTTAATTTTTTCTTTAAATACCGACTTTAAATATTTCTATATAGATTTAGGCTATTCTATGATGAAGATTTGGTAGATTTTATAAATTCAAATGCAGTCGGACCTCACTATAAGATCTAGATAAACCTCGATTTCGGATATGTTTTAAATTTTGGGTGGCCATTAGGGGGAGGGAGGCAAGTTTGGAAGAGGCGCTTTCCATCATTCTAAGATACCCCCTCATTATAAGATACCTCTCTATTTAAGGTACCTCTCATTATAAGATACCTCTCTATTTAAGGTACCTCTCATTATAAGATACACCCAATTTAAAACACCCCCATTATAGGATATCCTTCATTATAATATGCTCCTCTATTTAAGGTACACCCATTATAAGATACTCAGTTCAGTCTCAAAGGTGACTTACAAGTGAAGTCCGACTTTAATTGTTGCCAAAATTATTCTTTAAAATGTGATAGCCTTTTGCGCATTTTTATCAATATATCAAGAAATTAATGAGCAAACCACAAATAAAGTAGTAGAGAAAAGTAGAACGGACGCGTGATTAAATTTAAAAGAGGGGTGACTGTCAGCAACAAACGATTGACTCTCGAAGATGTGAAAAGTGGACGAGAAAAAGAAAAGAAATTAAAAATTGGCGGCCATTTTAAGTTAAAGAGAATATTTAAAAAAGAAAAGAAAAATATTTAAGCGGAAAGAAAAATTAAAAAAATAATTAATCATTTAATAAATATAAAATTATATATACAGATCAGCACCCCTATAAACGACCCATTTTTGACATTGAGAGAGGGAGAGAGAGATAAATATAATATTTAAGGTAAGGAAAAGGAATGTTTTGTGTGTGCCTGTTTTAAATATTTAAAATTTATTTATTATATTGTAGAGAATATTTTGGATAAAGGAGAAAAAAATTTTATTTTTGGAAATATATTAAAACTTAAAAAATTGAAATTAAAAATAATAATTTATTAAATAAAAAATTCTTTATTAAAAAAGCAATCGGACCTCACCAGGGGCGTTGATTTTTAGCATTGCGTTGATTTTTGGCCTTGCGTTGCGTTTTTCGGGATTACCGCTTGCGTTCCCCTGGATCTTACTATGCTACCTAAGCGAAACCCCCTATTTAACTAAAACTCATTATAGGGTATACCCATCAGTATAAGATATCCCCAATACTAAATATACCTCTATTTGGGATACGCTTCTAAAACTTCGGTGGCCACTAGGTAGGGGACCTGCCTAAACAATACCTCCAAGTTAATATAAATCTCATTATAAGGTACGATTTTTTCAACCCCGAAAGTATATGTAAAATGAAGTCCGAGCATAATATAAAAAACAAAAAATAATTTTAAGTCTTTCATTTTAATCTTCCCAAGTCAAAGAATGTCTACTTCCAACTCTTAATTGACAATTTCTCTTTCCATACCAATTAACATAAGCCAGGGCTCTCATTCGTGCTTTATTTGAAAGTATTATACTTTGAAACCGACCTCCATACTTAAGAAATTGAATTTATACTTTATTGAAAGTATATACTTTGAAATCAACATTTTTGATTGAAAATGAAATTGGGGAAGGGATCGGGCAAAAAAGTGAATTTTTTTAGCCTAGGGCCTTCGAAATTCTCAAAATTTTCGCCTGCGGCGCTGAAAAAGAAAGAAATCTAGCTTCTTGGGCTCCAAATTTCAAAAAATTTTCGCCTGCGGCGCTGAAAAAGAAAGAAATCTAGCTTCTTGGGCTCCAAATTTCAAAAAATTTTCGCCTGCGGCGCTGAAAAAGAAAGAAATCTAGCTTCTTGGGCTCCAAATTTCAAAAAATTTTCGCCTGCGGCGCTGAAAAAGAAAGAAATCTAGCTTCTTGGGCTCCAAATTTCAAAAAATTTTCGCCTGCGGCGCTGAAAAAGAAAGAAATCTAGCTTCTTGGGCTCCAAATTTCAAAAAATTTTCGCCTGCGGCGCTGAAAAAGAAAGAAATCTAGCTTCTTGGGCTCCAAATTTCAAAAAATTTTCGCCTGCGGCGCTGAAAAAGAAAGAAATCTAGCTTCTTGGGCTCCAAATTTCAAAAAATTTTCGCCTGCGGCGCTGAAAATGAGAGAAATCCGGCTTCTAGAGCTCTAAAATTCTCAAAATTATCGCTGCGGCGCTGAAAATGGACGAAAGTAATTTGCTTGAGGTTAAGACTGTCAGGGCTTTATTTCTTGTATCAGCGAATTTTGACATGTCATGCGTTGAAATGCACAAAATGCTCAGTGGAAGCAAGAAATTATTAGAAAAGATTCATTTAAGAGAGAAATATAAAAGATTTGAGCACGCATAAATATTTTCCAATTTAATTTGGAGTATACTTTAAATTTGGAAATTTTCTCCCTATATACTTTTTTATCAAGATTTTGATACTTTTGAGTGGCATTTTGTCGATGAGAGCCCTGACATAAGCAAATTCACTATTCGAAACAATTGAGTTAAAACGTCCACCAAATTTGGCCGCTGAATTACTTTCAATATTACGGGCTGCTTCCAAATTGTCTAATTTTGTTGATATTAATGCTTTCTCGACAATATCTCTATTTAACGAAAAATTTTAGTTTTAAATAGATTTGTAAAATAATTGTTAAATCCCCGCTTAAAAATATGCAAGAAATAAAGGACTGCCGCTTGTTGCTTTTAAAAAGCAAATTATTTGGAACCCCCACGTAGAGCGACATTTGTGCATTTGCGCAGACTGTAAAGCAAATAGATATTTAATTCCTAAGGCTGTGCAGTAGGCGGCGTTGTGTAATGGCTAAAACATATCAGTCCGGGTCTACTGAAGATGCTGGTTCGCTCCCAGCCGTCTAATAAGCTTTTGCATTAGTTAAAGGAGAGAAATATGTAGCTATAGCCCATCTGCTTTACTAGACCAAATTTCCGAAAATATGGAATTCACGACGTTTTTTTGTGCCGGTAATTCCCAATTCTCAAAACCGGGATTATATTTTTATGTCAGCGCAATCCCTACACACACAAATTTCTGTGTTTTATAGTTCAACCCGAATCAACCTCCCTCCCCCCCCCCCCCCCATCCAATTTTTTGCTCCCTCAGCAAGTACCTCAATTCAGTATCTTCACAATTATTTTTCATTTCCTCATTTTCACTTGTATTTACTTTTTCTTTCAACTTTTCCTTCTTTACAGCTTCATTTCCAAATGCCATTTCTTCATTTTTTGGTAAAACTTCATTATTATCCTCTTTATTATTTTCATCCTCATAATTTAATAATAAAGAATCACTACTTGTTTTTATTTCTGTTATTGTTGTAGGTATTGAAATAGTTGTTGTTATTATCTGTTCTAATAATTTATCGTTTTCGTTAGTTTCATACGGATTTTGAGGTGAAATTATTGTTGTTTCTGTAATAGGTATAGATATGTATTTGCAGAGAATTACTTATTAAGGTCCCACAAATAATCTCGACCCTGAACTTTTTGACTCCGATGGGTCGGGATCAGAGGTGAATCGGAAATGACGAAGGTGCCGGAAATCGGAACTATCGGAAATGGCTCAAAAGTCGGAAGTCGGAAATCAGCCTAAATTTTCGGAAATCGGAAGGGAAAAAACGTCGGAAGTCAGAAACCCAATTCACCTCTGTTCGGGACCACCCTCAGTTACTCCGCCAATTTTTATTTCGTTTTTTTGAGAATTTAGGACTCAAAATGGTCAAAAGTTTGTTTATACCTGCCATTAAGGATATACCACCATCTTATTAAAAAACATAGACGTCTGACCCTTTTGAGCCCTGGCCATTTTACTAAAGAAGTTGGCAGACCCTAAACCTTTAAGTACCTTCATCAGTATTTGTGGACGTTAAAGTACTTGCTTGTAATATTTCCTCAACGCTATTAGAAGGAGAAACTTCAACTGGAGAAGGAAATAAAAAGGAGGAAGTTTGAAGAGTTGGAAAAGGCGAAGAAGTTCCCAACAATTCATTATTATCCAAACTTTCATAATCTTGTTGATTATTATTAAAAATATCTGGAGAAACAGCTATTGGAAATTCTGTAGAAGTTGTTGCGAAAGGTAAAGGAATTGGAAGAGAATCAGAAGGAGATAGGGGAGGGATTTTTAAATAATTATTGTTGTGACAATTTATTGGGGGATTACAGGGGGAATTTATTTGTAAATTTGTTTCACTAGAACAGCCATCAATACAAGGAAGATTTTCGTCAGAAATGGATAAAGGAAGCTGTTCATTATTACAATTCTAAAAAATTTTTTTTTGGAATTTAAAAATAAATAAAATAACCGAAGCTCCATTACACGAAGGTAGTGAGCTAGGAAATTGGTTAAAGGTAGCAATACATCCCTTAAAATAATAGAAATATATTTTTTTCTATCTTTAAAACCGTTGAAGGACAAGGCTTTTGTTGTTGTTGTTGTTGACTACATCCATTTTCGGAATTTGTATCTTTTTGAATAAAATAACATAATCGGACCTCATTATAAGATACCCCCATTGGACCGTTAGCTCCTAATAAGAGGTGTCTACAATAAAGGGTATCTTAGATAAAGGATATCACTTAGGCAGCTCCTCCCATCCGGTAACCAACCAAATTAAAAATTATCGTAAATGGAGCTGTAGCTAATATTGGGCGTACACTATAGGGAGGTCTGACTATAGGGAGGTCCGACTTAAATTTCAATTTCGAAATTATCCCTACTTGCATAAATAAATTATAGTCTAATCTCATTAATGGAGAGGTTGAAAAATGATTTTGTTTTTTTAATGTTTTCAGCCTACCTATAATAATGGGTATCTTATAATGAAGGAAAATTTTTAAACTAAGATCTTTTTTACCTAAATCAATTTTAACTTTTTTATATTCTTCTTCTTCCTCAATACTTTCATCACAACCTCCACAATTAACAAATTCTTTGCATTCATTTATTTGATAGGTAAAAGGACGTGGATAAAAAATTTGTTGGGGAGCTTCATAACTACCTCCATAACTAGAATACCCCCTAAATTAAAAATTAAATTTATTCTTGTCCAAAAAAATAAAAGCACCTGCAAATAGGCACAGAAGGAGAACATCCAATTGATGAAAATGGTGGGCAGCAAATAAAAGTTCTGATAAAAATTAAATATTAATACACAGTCAAGCCTTACTATAAGATACCCTCAATACTAGATACACCTCGATTTAAGGAACGCTTTTTAAGTTGGCTGGCCACTGGGGTGGGAGATCTTCTTAAGCGACTATACCCTCTATTAAAGTTGTACCTCGTTATATGAAATACAATCCATTATGTCTTAGTATCGGTTGAGGGAGCTGCTTAAGCGATACCCTCTATTTAAGGTACCCCATTATATTTGCTTAAAATAAAAAGCTTAACTGCCCTCCACCGGCCATACATCCACCAACGGGTTGAGTAAATAAAAACAATGGAAGAAAATAAAACAAAATTAAAATCATAAGAAAAATTTATAAAAACATTCCTTTAATTTTAAAGGAAAAAAATTTTTTTCTGGGTAAATTTAAAAATTTTAATTTATGGATAACCTTTAAAATTAATGTATAGTAATTTAGAAGGAGAACATCGAATTTTAATGAAATTTTTTTTGAGGAATCTAATATATCCTTCTTTCTTTCTCCTATATTACAATAATAAAGGAATTAAAAAATACAATTTAAACAGCTTAAATTGCGTGAAAACTTTCTCTCTCCTTTATTTTTTAATTAAATTTCTTTTCATCTTAAATGTACGAAATGAAAGAGAAAATAAAAATAAAAAAATCCCGGAATTTATTTTGCTCTTGAAAAATAAACCCTCTTGACATTGGATTTATTTAATAAATAGAATAAATACAAGATTCATTTTTAAATGGATATATTGACTAGAAAAGCGGGAAAATGGTCAATGCTGATAGTTGGTCATCGGGGGATTAAAGGTTGTAGTTTCGTTTTTCGATTTGAAACGATGTTCGAGGGATTTCTTCGGGTCAAATGTAACGATGCTTGACTCAATCTTTCAGACAGCGTTGGGCTGTTCTTAAAGCACAAATTGGCAAACTTTCGCTGAGTCAAAAAAATTTTTTTTAGACTAATATGTACCAGGGATGTCGACAAAAAACCAAAATTAACGATTTCGGAAAAGATTCCTTTTTAAATGGATATATTGACCACGATTTGGGAAAATCGGGATCCCGACTCAAAAAAACGTCAAGAATTCCCTATTTTCAGGAATCGGGACGACATGATCCCTGATATGTACAAAAATTATCTGGAATCCTTGAGGGTCAATAACTTAAAAAATATTTTTAAATTTATTAAAACAAAAATAAAACAATTAAATATATTAATTACCCAAACAAAATATACCCTTCCACCATTTTCTAAAATATTTACTCATCATCTTCTTCATCACTTTCTTCATTTTTTTGTTTCTTCTCTTTCCTATTAGACTCTTCTTTATCAGCTGCTTGATCCAAACCTTTAGGTGCCACCAAACCCTCATCATCAGAACTTCCTCCTTCTTCATCACCTTCTTCAAGCAATTCCATTCTTTTTTTAATTTCTTCCTCATCCAAATCAGTCAATACTTTTGGCTATAAATTTGATTAAAATTATTTTGATTATGGAAAAATATTCTTTCAGAATTGATAAGAAAAGTGAGGACATTAATGAATGGACGATTAATAACCACACAAAACTAATGTTTGGAAAATCGAACCAAAAACAAAATTAAACTAAAATTAACTGAAAAACTTCTTCATATAACAAATTTTATGAATCGGGTCAGAAGGTCAGAAAAAAGTCCGGGGGTTCGGGTCAAGGGCGAATCTAAGGAGTCGATTTCGGAGGGAGGGGGCAGGATCAAAAATCCTCTAACCCACATTTAATCGAAAACATGGTTAATCAAACAAATTTTCTGACATTGTAAAGAAACGCAAATTTTTTGCGTGAAAGATAATTTTGTTATAAGAGTAGGAGTACGAAAAGAATATTCCCCAAACAAAAACTTAAAATTCCGTAGAAAATCCCCAATCTTTCTTACAAAAAATTTCAAAAAAAAACTAACCGCCATAATAATTCTAAAACTTCCTTCAAATGATTCTATAGTTGTTTTTATTGCATCAAGAGCATCCTGAACAGCTTTAAATCCACCTTCTCTATCCATTGTTTGTGTAGCTGGAGAATAAGTAAATACATCCATATTATTAAAAACAAATACAAAACCTCTCTTATAAATACACCTTCGGACTGATTTGTCTCTTATAATGAGGGGTATCTTAAATCGAGGATACTGCTTGGACACCCCACCCAGTGGCCAATTAAATAATAATTGAGGTAAATTATAATTAAATTTCGAGAGGATAGATGTGTACCTTGGATAGAGGTGTACCTAATATTGGGTGTATTTAATAACGAGATGTATCTTATAACAGGATTTATTTCAAATAGAGGGTATCTATCGCCTTAGCAGCTCTCCTACACTCAATCAATACATAACCCCGCTTATAAATACACCTTCGGAATGATTTCTCTTATAATGAGGGGTATCTTAAATCGAGGATACTGCTTGGGCAATAATTAACTAATCAATAATAATCAATAATTAACCACAATTTAATTGAATATATCTTAAATAGAGGTGTATCTAATATCGAATGTATTTTATATTGAGGTTCGACTTGTGAAAAAAAAACCAAAATTACTTACTAACAACAAAAAGAGGAGCAGCAATTAAATTAATCTATTAAAATAAAAATTAATTCTCATAAATAAATAAAAAAACTAACCTTAATAACCAATTCATCAGTTGAACATTTTTTCCCAGCAATTAAGGCTTTTTTAACCGCTTCAATTCCTTCATAAGAAAAGCAACTAACTTCAATATCTGCTCGGATTTTTAGAGGTTTTGGAGCTAATTTTTTGCGGATTTCTTCGAGCAATTTATTTTTTATTAGATCTTCAATTCCGCATTCATCAAAAACATTTGGTTCACTTAAAGAAAAAAATAGAAAAACTTGAGAAAAATGACACTTTTGAGTCAATCCAAAATAGAGATTCTAGTTTTCTTATCAGAGGGTCATTGCTCACACAATCTTTTTTTTCTTCAAAGAAAAGACGAAAAAAATTTTGTTTGAATAAAAGAATTTGGAAAAATTTAGATTCCTTTTTGAAAAATATTTTTCCGAGTATTGTGGAGAAAATTGATTAAAGATTAAAATGCCTTTGGATGAGTGGTTACTGCATGGGGAAGATTGGGGATTGAAGGAATTCCCTTTAACTGATTTAGGGATTTCCTTTAACTGATATTTTTGGGAGAATCCACAAATCCATAAAAAACCAACGTTAAAGCTTTGGTAAATATTTCAAAAGAAGCAGCCTTTTTCTTCAATTTTCTGTCAAAATGCCAAGCAGTCTTAAAAGAAATAATTAAAGATTAAAAAACTAAGAAAGAAAACCTTTTGATACAATTCTTCCAACTTTTCATTTTCTGTATATCCCAATTGATCAGCTACATGTCTCAAAATACTATTAACAGCCTTTGCTTTAGCAAAACGATCTTCACATTGAATTAAATCTTTGGAATATACACGTCTTTTGGACAAATCAATATAACCTTTAAATTAATTTATAGAGAGTTTTGAATTTTAAGGGCTTCATTTTTCCCAAAAATTTTCTTTATATGCCCAGCAGTCTTAAAAAATAATTAGACGGAGTGGGAGGGTCGGTGGGAGGGTCGTACGAGAAGAGAGATCAATATTTCAAGGGATATCGATTCAATAAGAAAGATTTTCGTTCAATCCCGTCTCTATCCAATCCCTAGTCCAAACGTTTGAGCCAGGTATAGAAAATGAGAACGAGTTGGTTCTGGACTAAGGCCTGGGTTTTCCTGGATTACAGGCCCAGGATCTGGCCCAAATCAATAAATCAAACCCAAAGTCCAGGAACAGGCCCAGGCGCTTCAAAAATCTCGATCTCTAATAGTAAAATATGTGAAATTATTGTTGTCCATAAAGGAATTTATTCATTAAAATGAGAACATGAAATATTGCCACACCAAAATAGCGCCAGCAAACGAGGGAAATAACAGATTGAAACTTTGGTTAGAAATAAGTGGATATGAGTTTTGACTAAAAAATCATCCAAAAATAGGTCTCGGGCTGATGTTGATTTGTTTCAAGAAAACAAGGGGAAAAATGAAGAAAGAAGCCCTCCTCCCAAAATTAATTTATTAAGAAAAAAACCTTTATCTTTATCCACTCTAATAACCACAACACATTCACTTCTTCCAACACGAATTAATTTATTGACTGAACGGATTCTTCGACGTGACAATTCTGACAACAAAATCATTCCTTCTTTTCCATCATATTCAGAAAGTGTCACATAAGCACCCATATCTTCAATTTTCTGGACTTTAACCATAACAGTATCTTCAATATCTGGGAATTCATTTTCATAAAATCGACATGATAAAGCTGCCATTTTTCACCTAAAAATAAATTTTTTCTAAAAAAGTTTCCCGGTTTTTTTGAAGCAACCGGGATGAAACCGAGAACGAGAATTCCTGGTTTTCCCAGTCCGGGTCCCTCCCGTCGACCTTCAGAACCCGGTTCCCGGACCCTTTTTTGAAAATTCCGATCTCTAATAATTAACAAGCACCGTTAACAAGACTGAAGAAAGTAGACTCAAGACTTAAACCGTCCAGACTGAAGTGTCCTTCAATGTAAAATGCGTTTCAGCACGAACCTAAACCTTTAGGCTTGCTTGACAATAGAGTCTCAACAAATGTGTCGAGAAACTTCGTTTTTGGGGTATAAATTTTTTTATTTCGATCATTTCCAAAAATTATTTTACATCATTCAGGATCTCTATCTATCCTATTCTTTTTTACCAATTTTCTAATCTGATCCAAGCATCTCTTAAAGAGTTATACGCCACTAAGTACGGTAAATCACGATTGCCTGCATTTAACGGCTTGCAACTTTCTGAATCACGTTGGGAACTAAACAATTCTTTTGGGAAAAGAACAAGCACATTCTGAGCTTTCAAATGATACCAAAAATTAAAGTTATGGCCCAAAATGTTAGCCATAAAATTATATTTTTGAGACTCTTTCGACCCGTGGTTGTTTTTAGCCTAAACTTTTTGAAGCCTAAACCTTTAGGTTTACGGTAATTTGAGTCTCAGTTTATGGAATAATTTTTTTGCTGTTTTTTTTTCGCTGTTGATTAACTATTGTCTGCTGTATTGTAACAATATTTTATAAAATTAATTTTATAAAATTTATATCCACAAAAATGAGTAGGATCAAAATTTAAAAACGACTTTGTAACAAAATTTTACTAAAAAAAATTTTTTTATTCATTTTCCTTAACTTTTCCCTCCTCCATTTCTTTCATTTCCATAGCTTCTTCATTCTCCAACTTTTTATTTTGAATTTCAAAAACTTTAAAGTCAACTTCTCCATTTCCCGAGGTTGCTGGTCGTCGATTTAAAGTAGAATTAGAGGTGCTACTTTCCTTTCTTTCATTAGTCTTTAAATTAAAAACAGAAAATTTTTTTAATCAAAAATTTTCGGCTCTACTCTAGTTTATGCGTCCAATGAAAGTTTATGCGTCCAATCAAAAAATAATTGGATTTTTCTTGGTATTGCAAAGTAGGGGTATGGGTTCAAAACATTTCTTCATGTTCAGGACCTACGCCCACTGGGTCTGGCGCCCACCGCATAAAAGTCGATTGGACGCATAAACTGGAGTAGAGCCAAATTTTCATTTTACCTTTCCATTACTTAATGAACTTTGAGCTCTTTTTTGAATAATATTTCCATTTTGTTTTAAAGAAGGCACTTCATTTGACAAAATATCTTCATTATCTCTTATCTCATTAGTTTCTTCAATATTCCTTTCATGAGTTTCTTCCTTGTCAGCATTATTTTCACTTCTAGTTTCTGGACTATCTTCAGGGGAAAGTGCTGCTCTTAAATTTTTAAAAAGCATTTAAAACGCTTACTAGGCGAGGGTTTACGATCTATTAAAAGAGAAGGTGGAAGAAGCGTCCCGGAAGCTCGGTTGGTAGAGCACCTGTACGTGGTAAGCGAAAGCGCCTAGCAATAACTGCCAGGAGGTCGCAGGATCGAAGCCTGCCCGGGATTAAAGTTTTACCTCGCTCTTATTTTAGAATTAATTAATGTTTTCAAATATTTTAGTTTATAAATCTAAGGTTTTCTAATAAAATCTAAATTTGGTATGTGGAATAATTTGCGAGGATTTGCGAGGATTTGCGATAATAATAAATTAGGTTTTTATATTGACAATTATAAATTATTATTTTAAATTATATTTTTAAGATAACTTTTGATAATAAATAAAATTTAATAATTTTGAATAAAGGGAATAGAAAAATTTTATTATGTATTACAAGGGCTGGAGCCCCACTATAAAGAAATAAAAATTCCGCAATCCGCAATTTCTTATTAAAAATCCGCAAACGCAATCCGCAACTCGCAGACCTCAATTGCATGCAGCCCTGCTTACAAGACACCCTTTGGTATTAAATACACCTCTACTTAACAAATGTTTTAAAACCTTATTTGGCTACTTAATGGGTTTGGATGGCTAACGATACCTTCTATTTAAGATACACCTCATTATAAGGTTTCATTTTCAATCCTAGGAAATATCTATTAGTGAGGTTGACCATATTTAAATTTAATTTTTAATCAAAATATTTACGCAATAGCAAGTCTGTGTTGCCTTTCTAGCCTTTCTTGAGCTTGTCTTTCCTTAAGTTTTTTAAGTGCAATTTCAACACCTTTAGAAATATTATCATAATTATCCAAAATTTTATCAATTAACCATTCCAATCCTTCAACAATTACCTTTAAGTAAAATTTTTTAATTAAATAATTAAGGAAAACTTGATCAATTTCCTTTCCCGTTCCTTTAACAGCACAAACACCTTCCACCCTTATATCCGTTTTATTCCTTTTCGCCATACTGTGGAGTTTGAATTTTTCAGAAAATTGGATTTCGTCCATTGCTTCTGGCAAATCTTTTTTGTTTAGAAGGAAAAGTATCGGCTTTCCCATTAATTCGGATACTTCAATTAATTCATCCACAATTTGTTTATTTTCTGATATCCTGCTAGCAGCGCTAGAATCGACGACATAAACAATTCCGTAGACCTCAGCGAAATATGTTGTCCAAATTTCTCTTATTCTTTGGGACCCACCCAAATCGTAAACTGTTACTTTGTATTTGAGGATGTTTACTTCTGCTCTGCTAAATCCAACAGTTTGGTGGACAGTGCCGAAATCCTCTTAAAAATGGGATTTTTTTTATTAATCGGATCTCACTACAAGATACCCCCAATATTAGATACCTCTATTTTAGAGACGTTTTTAAAAATTTTAGTTGCCCACTGATTGGAGGGAGCTGTTTAAGCGATACCCCCTATCTAAGATACACTGTACCCTATAAGGTCAATTTTCAGGCCTAAGGTCTTATAGACAGTGCGACAGACAGTGCCCTCCTCCATTTATATATCTTTTAATAAGATACGATTTCTAGCCCTAATGGTATATCTAGTAGACTGAACATCTAATTGCATATCCTTCTCATTATTTGGCTAGATTTTGGGTGGACGATGTATCCCTCTTATTTTGAACCCAAGGGCTTCTTATAATGAGGTCCAACTTTAATTTAAAATTTAAACCTCCTTGTAATGCTTTAACTATTGTTGTCTTTCCAGCACCATCAACCCCAAGAAAACAAAGAACAATAGCTTTATTTCGTTTCCAGGGGGCAATTCGGTTTGTTCTTCGTTTAAAACCTCCAACACAATTTCCCATTAATTACTGGCATGAGTAAAATGAACAAAGGAAAAATAACATTTTTTGATTTTAAAAATAATTTAATCTGTCTTTTTAAGTAAAAAATTATTTTATTTGATTAAAGTTGAAAGTTACCCACTTGGAACAATCAAAAAAAACATCGTCTAGGGATTTACGCGTTGAGAAAAAAGTCGGGTTTCGGGTAGCGGTTTCAAAATTATCTTAGGATCGGGTTTCTGATCGAAAAAAGTTTTTTTCGGAGTTTGTGTCTCGGGAGGGTTCCAAGTCGGGTCAGTTGAAAGAGGGGAAAACTCGGGTCGAGTTAAGTAAATTTCTCGGGTTGGGTTTTGGGATGAAAAAAGGTGTTTTCTTACCCCATGACATCTTTTACATGCTCAACCAACTTTAAAAAAATCTATCTTGAATTGAGGTATATTTAGTGTTAGGGGGTATCTAAAAATTGAGGTTCGCCTGTATTTAATTTTTAATTTCTCCAAAAATTAATTTCAAAAAATATTTAAAACAATAAAAATTTTCAAATAAAAAAAATTAAAAGATTACCCAATTTAAATATTTTTATAACCAATTTTTCAAAGCGTCCATAGCAACGGTTTGTTTGCATAGCAATTTAAAATAAAAAATATTTATATTACCAAGAGAAAGCAAAAAGCCGAGAAGAAACATTTTTTTATAATTGGGAAAGAGGACATTTTTATTCAATTCAATTCAATTTATACGCATAAAAACGTGACATTCAGATAAAATAAATAAAAATGTATCAATTGTTTTATATAAGGTCTGGAGGCAATTGAATGGAAAGTGGCTTTGATAAAACATTGTTTAAGTTAATATTGTTTAGGAGCTTTGGAAACAATTCGATTGACGATTTTTGTAATTCTGTTGGGAGTTTTCTGTAAATGTTTGGGATGTCTATAAAGAATGAGTTTTTCCGAATGGTGCTTGAACAAAAGGGTATAAATAAATTATGCGGGTTACCTCTAGTAGTGGTAGGGAGAATGCTGAATGAATTATCATGTTTTAATTTAATTTTGCCTGAGATAATATTATGGAAAAGGATAAGATTTGATTTTAAACGTCTGTGCGATAGAGATTCAAGTTTAAACAGGTCAAGGAGTTCTTTATAATTAGGTAATGTTGGGCTGTTATTGTGTTTCATAGAGCGTAAGTATAATATTTTTAAGAATTTATGTTGAACATTTTCTAAAGAGTTTATATCTTTATTTAAATAAGGGTTAATTATAGGAGATCCGAATTCGAGGATAGGTAAGACGTATATTTTGAATAAAGTAGTTAGGAATTGAGTGTTATTAGTTTTAAGAGATCTTATAAGAGTATAATAAATTCCAGTTGCTTTATTTGTTATTATTTTAATGTGAGAATCCCATTTTAAGTTTGATGTAAAATAAATGCCTAGATCACGAATAGGTTCGTTGGGTGGAATGATTGGTATATTTATGTTTTGTAGAGAGTATTGGTGGAAGGGATTTTTAGTTCCTATGTGGAGTGAGCTTTTTATATTTAAATGAGGGTATATCTAGATATATAACAATTATAATTTTACGTAAATATATTTAAATATTGGGTAGATTAATTGTCTTTTTTATAAAAAGAATTTTCGAGTTATCGAGAGTTTTGGACACTAAATAAAAAAATTCTTGTCGAGTGTAGAGCTGTTTTGAGACAAAAAAATCTTCGAAATTGTAGGTCATCCAGCAGCATTACGTTTAGGCGGGGGGCCTAGCAATAACTAGCAGGTGGTCGCAGGTTCGAATCCTGCCCGGTGGCTAAACTTTTGCAAACTCTTTCTAAATCAAAAATCGAAAGTCAGAATAACCTCGAAAGTCGAAATTTCGAAATGTTGGGAATTTTAGATTTTTTTTACAAAATTGAGGATCCACTAATATATACTGCTCGGTTTAGTATATAATTTTCAGTCCCAAGATTGTACACTTTTAAGAGATTCAACTTTTAGCAATTTATGTTTTGATAAAATCCTACAATTTAAAATACCTAGCAAATTAATCAATCCATCAATCCAAGGCGGAGATGATTAAAAACAAGATTTTAAAATTGGCGTGAGTCTCCGTCTATGCGAGGCTATCAGTCTAAGTTTAATCTAATTCGAGTACTATTCTTGAAGAATATTCCAAAAAAAAATTTTTTTTGTTCCAAAAATTTGGTCAATTTTTTGTATATTAAAAAATTAAATACACAACACGCTTCTACATATTCTTAAAATAACCTTGGAGACACAAAATTAAAACAAAAAAATTACTTTTTTGCAAAATTAATTTTTTTTTGTTTTACAAAATTTATTTTATTTAAAAAATATCGTTAAAAATAAAATCTAGAAAAAAAGTTTTTAAAAAATAAAGGCAGAAATGAGAATAAAAAAATAGAATTTATTTTTTTAAATATAAGGCAATTTATGAAAATTTTTGAAAATTTTTGAAAAATATTTTTAATAAAAAAAAATATTTTCGGTTGAATCGATGTGAGCAATAATTGGGATAAAAAATAATAAAATATTTTTTTTAATTTGGGAAAATAAAGAAAATTAATTGACTGGGAATTTAATTAAAAAGAAATAAATTTATTTATACATTCAGACTTCATTATATCATACCCCCATGAGAGTAGGAAAAATTGCCCTATAAAGAGATTTATCTTAAAAATGAGCTGAAACTTGGACAGCTGAATAGGGTATGTAAACTTGAAATCGAGATTTTTGAAAAGCCTGGACCTGTTCCTGGTTCTTGGGTTCTTTTATTAACCTGGGCAGGATCCTGGGTCCGTTAGTCCGAGAAAAACCCAGGAAGGTAAAAAAATGCATGGGCCTGGACTCTGTGTACAGGAAAAACCAAGGCCTTGGTCCAGACCCAGCTCCATTTCTAATGTAAACCTCTCATTATGTGATACCCCCTTGTGACTGAAAAAATTGTCTCTTATTATAGGAGTAACTTAAATAGAGGGATAATAGCTTTGGGAAATTCCCCGACCCAGTGGCTAACCCGAATTTCCTTCAAACAGAATTTTAAAAACGTCTATTAAATAGAGGTGTCTCTTAGATTCACTATGAAGTACTAAGGGGTATTTTATATAATGAAATCCGACTATGTATTCTAATGTAAATTATTCAAATTATTATTTTGTTGTTGTTGGTGCCTTTGTTGTAACTGTACACGTCCAGCTGGCATCATTACATTTGTGATAAATCTAACGACAGCTGAAGCTGGTTGATCTTTAATTTCAAAAAAATATATTTTTAATCTAATATTAAAATGCCTGGGTCTAATTCAGCAAACATATGACAAGAATTTTCTACATTTCCATTAACTGGAATTTTGTGAGCAACAAATCCAAAGATTGGAGCCTTTAATTTTTATTTTTAAAATAATTTTTTTTGGAAACAAAAAACCTGTCTAACATATGTTGGAGGTAATTGTATAACATTATTATTGTCAAAGCTAAAAAATTTTTTTGAATAAAATATTTCTTTTGTCGATAGTTGCGGACAAAACTTAACCCTAATAAAATTGAAAACGGTCATGGGTCCTGTCCAGTATCATAGTTTATAAATACTGTACTATTTTGGTGTGTAGTATAGGGGTGAGCCCTTCACATTTAAAAACTGAAGGCCGAAGAACCAAGGGTCCTTTCGCAAACAGAGGAGAGCCCATCAATTAAAGAGCCCATCCCTCAATCACCTTAAACAGGAACCTTACTGGGTGCCAGAAAATGTCAGTTCGCAGTTGTCTCCCTTTGAATATCTTACATACATTCAGACTAAGGTTGGCGGTTCCGGTTATCCGGAACCGAAAAAAGACGGATAACCGAAAATTTTCGGTTCGGTTGTCGGTTCCGGATAACCGAAGATTTCCCAGGAACCGCCAACCTTAATTCAGACCTTACTATAAAATACACTCAATATTAGGCACACCTCGATTTAAGATACATCTCATTATAGGAGACAATTTTTCAACCCTAAGGGCGTATCTTAAATGAGGTCCTGACTTTTGTATTTTTGCCCACAACACTCAATAAAATAAAAAAACAAACACTCTATTCTCAGGATCAATACCAGCAAAAGTAACAGAATTAACAGGGTAATGTCTTCTAAAGAATAATGTTCGAGTATTATCCTTTTAAAAAATTAAAAAGTAAGGTTTAAAATTTTCAATTTTTTACAGTTAAAGTAATTCCTTGCACAGATACTTTTATGTGAATAGGCACAGCACGAAGTTCATGCCTCAATAATAATTTTAAAACAAATGCTGTTGATCGACGGACAGCTTCAGGGCCTGTCAAACTTTCGGTATCAACAGAACATAAATAAGTCACGTTACAAGCTTTAAAATTTAAAAAATTAGAAGAAATATGTAAATGTAACAGGGATGGTTGAAAATCGAATCATTAAAATCGGAAGACCGAAGAAATTGAATAGGAAAATAAATAAAAGACGGAAAACTAAAACGGAAAAAGATCTCCGATATGTATGTTTGTATGCGGATTAGTGGTCAGTAAAATCGTGTTTACGTGATTCCATGTTTGGGATCTTGGCAATCCAGGAGAATTGTGGTCCCTGTGAAAAAAAAGTTTAAAAATAAGAAAAAGGGGTTTTCTAGGGTAAAAAATATGCTGATCACGAATCTGAACTCGGATTTTGAAAAAGTCGAATCCCGGGCCCGAACCAAATTTCGAACCCTGAACCCGAATTTCAAATATACAAATGATAGCTCGTTCGAAAGAGCTCGTCGAGCTGCATCGAATGACACCAAAATCAACGTGATTGGACATGTTTCGACAAAGTTATGAATTAAAGTAAACTTATGGGAGTACTGTGTTAGTCGGCGACTTATGTCATAACCTTGACAAAACTTGATCAATTACTGTAATTTTGGTGTTATTCGACTCAGCTCGACGACCTCTTGGTATCATTTGTCTAAACTTTTTTTACTCCAAAAAATCACCCCTATGGTTTTTCAATATTCCGGGGTCTGTATCTCGGTCCAATCATGTCGGATTTCATCAAATTTGGTGTCATTCGATGCAGCTCGATGAGTTCTACCTGCATATGAAAGACTGACCAGTTTGTACAATGTCCGACAATATCCGGGGTCAAATTACGAATTCGGGTCCGGGATTCGACTTTTTCAAAATCCGAGTTCAGATTCGTGATCAGCATATTTTTTTACCCTAGAAAAAACCTTTTTCCTATTTTTAAATTTTTTTTTTCGCAGGGACCACAATTCTCCTGGATTGCCGGGATCTTTTCCAAAGAGCTTTGCGGAACAGGATTCGATAGGACAAATCCTGTAGATCAAGAAAGTGCCTGATTGGGGGAGAGGGATCTCGCAAAATCTCTCGTGGGATCCTGTCCCGCGCCGACCTTTAACGTAGATATATGCCTTAAAGAATAGTTTCTAGGAGGGGGAGGGGATCAGCCTTACAAACTATCAACCAAGTAATTTAAAAAGAATTACCAGCTCCACGTTCAAGTAAAGCTTGATTTGAATTAATACTTTCTGGTGTTGTTGCTGGGTCAATTGAAGGTAAAATTAAACGACAAGGTCTTTAAAATTAAAAAATATTTTTTCAAAATCTAACAAAACAAACAAAGCTAAAGGAGTAATTGAATGTTGATATACAAGTGCTGCTAATGTACCAAAAACGGGTTCATTAGAACAACCTTTCAGACGAACACCTTTTGGACTTGGCTCAATCAAGAAATGTCTAACTAATTCACTTCCATCAGCTTAACAAAAACTTATATTTTTATTAAAAATTAAATAGTCCCAATACACCAATTATAGGCTAAAAACAACATCTATTTAGGATACAATCCTTTTAAATTGGTTAGCCATTATGCAAAAGCTATCTAAGCGATACCCCTATTTAAACTACAGCTCATTATAAGGAACGATCTTTTGATTGCTAATGGGTAAACTGAGGTGCTTTCATATTCTTATTTAAGTGCTCAAGCAATACCTCTATTTAAACTGCCTTTAATATAAGATACGATCTTTTCAGGGGTATTTTAGAAGGGTTAACAAATCTTATTTACAAGGGGATATCTTAAAACGAAATCCAAATGTATAATTAATTTTATTTACCTGGCACAACCCCAGCAGGCGGCTGGGCTACTTTTAATGCCAAACCAAAAGCGCCCGGAAAAGAATTACTGTCGCGAACAACAAAAGTTCCTGGAGGTTTATTTTTAAGCATTGAAATTGCTAAAAATAAATTTTCAATAAATTTAAATTAAATATAAGCAGCACCTTCTTCTCTACTAATTTTTGGTTTATACCAAAAACGACTAGTATCTTTTACAAAAATTGGATGATGATGAATTACATCTGCAGAATCTACAAAAAAAAATAATTAAATTTACATAAAATTATTAAACGAATAGTTTTAAATTTTATTTTTAAATTCTTTCAGACCTCGCTTATAAGCATATCCTAGGGGTAAAAAATTCTGCCCTATAATTATGTGTACCAGGGATTTAAAAAGTTGGAAATCGGAAGTGGAAGACAGCGCATCCCTGATGTGTATTTAAGAATGAGTGTTAATAGGGGACGAACTAACTTTAGGAGAAAATTTGTGTCCTAAAGTGAGGTCAAGAAAGGTCTGATTGTAAATGATGAATTTCCTAATTTAAAAAATTCTTTTAATGTTTTTTATCTATTATACTACTAAGTATTTTAATTTTATTTTTTGATATTTTTCCTAGTTTTTAAATAATATTATTCTTTTAATTTCAAAAAATACTTTTTTTTTGAAAAATACTTTAAGGACTAGAGATAGGTGATTGGAAGGTGACTGAGAGACATTCCTCCTCTTCACATTAAATTAAAAAAAAACATTTAAACACCTTTTCCCTCTCCATTAATTACTTCACCATTACACTCATTATTAAAAGGTCCTTGTTCAGTATTCATTATAATATTTAATTTTTTAATTCGACAAAGTGTTTTGGGGGATAATCTAAAATCTTCTTCTTCCCCCTCCCCTTGATTATTAAAATATCCAAAAGGGGAGTGTTGCCCGGGAGGCGGAGGCTGTTGAGGCTGTTTCGTTGTTTTAGGCAAGGTAGAAGATAAATAAATATTTTTATTATTATTAAAAGTAGAAGCAAAGGGAAATTGATAAAATTTTGAAGCTTCTTGTTTTGTTTCTATTTTTATTGGAATAATATTTGTTGTCGAATTAAATTTATTCTGAATTTTATAATTATTTTCTGCTTCTTTTTCTATTGGAATTATTTTTATTAAATTATTCTGATTTTTTTCTCTAGCCATTTCTGTTGTCCCTTCTGTTTCTTCTGTTTTTATAAAACCATTCTCTCCCTCTTTCACTTTAATTTCAGAATTTTTAAATTCTGATTTTATTTTACTGTCTAAAAATTCTGATTTTGCTTTCTCTCTGTCTCTCACTTCTTTCTGCTCTTTTATTTTATTTTCAGAATTTTTTAAAAATTCTGATTCTTCTTCCATTTGTTGTAAAGCTTTTAATTCCTCTACCATTTTACAAAGTTCAATTTCTGCTGCTTTTATATTATTCTTTTTATTTTCTATTTTAATATTATTATTTTTCTCGTCATTTTTAATAATATTTATTTTTATATTTTTTTCTTCTTCTTGAAAAATTATTTGTTCTGGCTTTTGATCATTGTTATTGTTAAATCCATAAATAGAATCAAAACAGGACTCTAATGTCCTTTGTTCTTCTTTAGTTCTGACTTCAGAATTATTAAATTCTGATTTTTCTTTTCCTTCCTCTTCTCTTCCCTTTTGTTCTTTTGTTCTGATTTCAGAATTATTAAATTCTGGTTCTATTTTGTATTGCTTAAATTCTGATTTTTCTTTCTCTTCCTGTTCTTCTATTTTAATTTCAGAATTATTAAATTCTGGTTTTTCTTTTCCTTCCTCTTCCCTTTCTTTCTGTTCTCTTATTCTGATTTCAGAATTATTAAATTCTGGTTTTTCTTTTCCTTCCTCTTCCCTTTCTTTCTGTTCTCTTATTCTGATTTCAGAATTATTAAATTCTGGTTTTTCTTTTCCTTCCTCTTCCCTTTCTTTCTGTTCTCTTATTCTGATTTCAGAATTATTAAATTCTGAAATATTTTTGAAATCTCTCTCCCCCACTATTTCTTCCTTCTCCTTTTCTTTTCCCATTAATTCTTCAAATTTATTAAAATCAGAACATTTTTGTTGACTCACATCTTCAATAAAAGGTTCAATATAAACATTATTATTTTCTAAAATCACTCTTTCTATTAAAAATGAAGACAATCTGTCAGAATTTTTTATTTCCATTTCTATTGTTAAATTCTCCTCTTCTTCTTTTCCTCCATTTATTTTATTAAACATTTCAGAAATCATTTCATCAGCTATTCTATTTTCTACAACATTTTTATTTCTTTCCTTATCTTCTTCTTTGTTAAATTTAAAATATTCGTTTAAAGTTTTTGTTGTCTCAAATTTATTTGTTTTATTGTTAAATTCTTTTATTAAAATTAAATCTTCCCCTTTTTCCCCTCCTCCTTCTGTTTCTCCTCCTTCTGTTTCTCCTCGTTCTGTCTCTCCTTTTTCCTCTACTCTCTCTTCTGATATTTTATTTTCTGAAATTTTAAATTCTGATTCTTCTGCTATTTTAATTATGGGAATATCACATTTAATTGACTTTATTTCATTCTTTTCTTCAATTTGTGCTTCCTTCTCGTCTTTTATTCTTCCTTCTTCTTCTTCCTTTTCAAATTCTTCCTTTCTTCTTTCTCCTTCAATTTCTTCTTCCTTTTTTATTCTTTCTTCTTCCTCTTCCCTTCTTACTCTTTCCTCTTCATCTCTTCCTTCATCCTCTTCCTTCCTTCTCCTTTCCTCTTCCTTTCTTCCTTCTTCATCTTCCTTCATTCTTATTTCCTCATCCTTTCTCCTGTCTTCTTCCCTTTCTTCACTTTCTACTACTCCTTTTCCTTCTTCCCCTTCCTTCCTTCTTTCTTCCCCTTCCCTTCTTCCTCCCACTTCCTTCCCATCACCTTCTACTTCAACCTCTTCCCCCTTCCCTTCATCCTCATGTTCATCAATCGTATCTAACCTATCCACCAATTCCTCAACTTTTAAATCAATTTCACTTTCCTCCTCATCTTCATCCTCTAAATCCGCCAAAGGAACTATTCGGTGAACTTCAACGGAAACTATCTCTTTATTTTGTTCTGATGGATTTTGTATTTTACTCGTAGCAATACCAACAATTAATGGCTGTCCAGAATTGTTTAAATTATTTATTATTGGAATTGAATGAATTTCAGAAGATTCTGACATTTATTTACTGTTTAAAAATTAATTTAGAAAAAAATAAAAATAAGGGGGAAATAAAAGGAGAAAATAATTTAAAAAATAAAAAAATTGAATAAACAAAAATATCCATAAATATAAATCAGGAATATCCGAATATACATACAGGGTGCTCAAACTTAAAAAATTCCTGTTCCTTATTTAATTCCCCATGATTTAATCTTTATTTGAGCTTGAATAAAGTTATGCCAAAAATAGTGTGTCCTAAACTTTTGGGTCCCCCTGTAATGTAGTCTAGAGCTGTGCGCATTAATTTGGCATTTATTTTTGGACCAATTTTGGCATTTTGCGTTTCGCGGGTTTCTAAAATTTGAAAAATTTGCGGTTGGCGCATCACGCGAAAACTTTGGCACGGATATTTTTCAATTTCGATTTATTTCGAAAAAGATCGTTAGACAAGGAAAAAAATTAAAAATATTAAAAAGATCAAAAGTAAAAGAAGCATCTATGTATCTATCAGCTGGGAAATAAGCAAAACTGTGAACGGAAAGAAGAGAAAATCCATAAAACAATTTTATTAAATTAAAAACTAAGAAAATATCCTCCTAACGGCTGTCTAATTATTTTTGCCAAAACTAAAAAGATTTAAAAAGAAAGGTTAAAGGGAGAATTCAAAAATGAGGGTAGATTGAACAACATTCTCTTTTAAAAACCACCCCAAAAACAACAATTGTCCCTATACAGGTGACTTTATTTTTAAGAAGGAAAGAATGAGTACCTTAAAAATGTTTACAGATCATATACCTATTTATTCAATTATATTTTGAAAAATAAAAAAAAGATAAATGGACATAAGCCAAGAAAGAAAAATAAGGAGGACAACTGTTGAGGAGATTGAAGGGGCAAAAAGAATTTTTATTTTATCCTTGGCCGGGGCTTATTTGAAATTCAATAATCAATTTTTAAAAATAAAAAAAATCCATTTGAATAAACAAAAAATAATTTTTTAAAATTTTAAAAATTTTGGAAGAACACACAAAAATAAAAATAAACTCTAAAAAAGAGAAAAATAAAGTAAAAATTGAAATTGAGAGAAAAAAATGGAAAAATAAATTAGCAAAATTACTATTTTAGAATTAAATTAAGCGGAATTTGTAAAAAATAGAACGTATTTTTATTTAAAAAATATTTTTATTTTTTAGTGTGTTCGTTAAAAAGATACTAGAAAAAAATAAATTTAAAGGTTAAATAAATTTTAAGATGAGTTGGGATTTTTCATTATTCCTCGTCCAAATTTGGGGGATTTTATCAAGGACAAGAGGCGGTTATTTTTACAATTTATTTAAAAAAAAATTTTTTTCTAGTCAAAAATGATTAGAATATACTCAGAAAAGCTCCTCTGCTATACTTCAAAATAAGGGTATAAGTCAGGGACAGGGATTTTTGGAGCATTTTTTATATTTCTTAAAGTTGTCTCATGCGCACGCCCCTTGTCAGTGCTATGGAAAATCAAGGCCTATTTGTGTTTCATAGCTAAAAATGACTAGATCCCTATGCTCCGGAAGCCTTGATTTACCTCAAAATGTTAGAGTCGAATCAAGACCCTTAAAAATAGGGTTCCACTACCGTAGCTGGGGACGGTGGGAGGTCCTCTCCCCAGAGCTACCGTCCCGTCCCCTGGCAAAAACCACCACCGTCCCCGTGAAAGGCCACCTGACCGTAAATTTGGAACCATACTTAAAAACCATCGTCAGAGCTTGATCCAAATTCTAATTTTTAAAATAAAAGAAAAAATAATTCGTATTTTTTATTTAAATATTTAAAATGAATAATACAATTCTGAGAATTTTTGAACACACAAAAATTTTTTTTTCAATTTAAAAATAAAAAAAAAAGAAACAGTCATACACACAAATATTTTGAAGGGCACACACAAAACTTTTACACGTATTTTAGTCATCCCAGCGGGAATTGGCTGAAATAAGTGAATGTTAAAAAGGCGAGAAATGGATATTTAAGCGAGAATAAAAAACTAATCAAAAATTTATAAAAAAAATTTTGTTTGAAATTTTATTTTTTTGGGACAAACTGGATTTTTGATTGACATTTAACAAGATTGTGTTAATTTTCATTCCATGATGCATAAATTGTTTTGCGACGTAAAAAAGTGATGGAATATTAGAGTTGTACCTAGAATGCTAGAGAAAGGGTATGCGAAGAAGCTTGGAGAAGCTTGCTTAAGAAAAAAAGTCTGTGTGGGAACAGGGGCATGGACAAGGGGTAATCATCCCTGGTGTGAAATTGTTTTGTCACGTAAAAAGTGAATGGAATTTGAGTTGTACTTCGACTGCTCGAGGACGGGTATGCGGAGACGGGTATGCGGAGAGAGAGCTTGGTTTGAGAAAAAAGTCGGGGTGAGTTTCGTGTCGAACAGGGATTAGGGTAACCAGACTCATCCCTGGTGTGGAATTTCAATTTTTCAGGGCTTGAAAAAAGATAATAAATAGTTCAGGGAAAAATCGTTCAAGAAGGGGATAAGGGTGGCAAGGAGGGTAGGAGGGTAGGGTATTTTTGGAAAATATTTTTAATAAACAGAGGATTACTTTTTAAATATGTATGTACTAAATTAATGTCAAGTAATAAAACTACTAGTGCCAGAAGCCTCAAATGGACCAGTGCCAGAAGCCTTAAATTTTTTAGAAAAAATTTTGGCAAAAAATTGAGAAAAAAGTATGGAGAGAACAGTGGATATAAGCGAATAAACAAAAAGCAAAAAAAGTAAAAAAAGAGTGGGCCAATTAATAAATATAAAAATAGCCAAAAAAAAAAGATTGGCAAGTGAATAAATAAATAGAAAAAAAGTGAAGAGAATAATATTTTTGGATTTTTTAAATACTTAATGGTTATTTTTTTATATTTTTTAAAATTATTTTTTTAAAAAGGGGTGGAAAAGAGGTAAAAAAATATTTAAAAAAATTTTGCTTACAAAAAATAATTCACAAATACCAGTCATTTTTTCTAAATTTATTTTTCTGAATTAATCCGACGTTGAAAACAAGAATTTTAGGCAACTAATGTTATAAATTTAATTTAAAAATATGTAATAGGCAGACCCATTTTTCTTGTGATTAATTAAGGGGATGGAGGTCCAGTTTTTAGTTTAGTGTTCGTCTCGAGAAGCTTTGGCAAGTTCTCCATCCACCCCATTCCACACCCATCTTTGTTCTAGTTGTGGCGTCCTACGACTAGGGCCCAGCGCCGACCCGTATAGCAGGATTTCAAGAAAGTAGAACAAAGAATTTTGAATGATCTTTACCAAACGGGGAACACCTACCATAATCTTAACTTGTTCCAAACCTTAAAACAAATGGGAAAACCCCAATACCCTGACATATCGCCCTTAAAGATTCTGAGTATTTTAAAAATACAAAAAATGTTAAATTGTGTTGATAACGAATTAATTAAAAAATAAATTTAAAAAGCTTGAACAGACTAAAAAAAAGAAATAAATAACCTGAAAAATGAACGCATCTGGCGCGCGGAAAAATGGTAAAAATAAATTTTCTGTCTGTCACGATTGAATGTGTAAAAATAAAACTGACCACAAAATCAAACACAATAGGGTCATTTATTTTATATATTGGATTAGAAAAAGAATTTTTTAAAAAAATGAACAATAATGCGCGAAAAATAAAATTAATTACTAAAGAAAAGGTTGAAGTTTAAAGAAAAAATGGAAGAAAAAATTAAATAAAAAATCTTTGTTAAAAGTAAAAAAATTATATAGTATTATCTAATATATAAAATCTTTAAAAAAATTTAATTTCAAAAATGTGTGTAATATTTACAAAAAATTGCTGGTTTTTGTTAGTTAATTTTGTTGCAAAAATTTAATTTTATGAGAAAAATTTGTTTCTTATTTATTTATTGTTAGCTACATATGTATTAGAGATCAAAAATTGTACTTATTCTAAATCAATGAACTCTGAAGAATGTTCTCTGATTTTAAATTAGGATCCAACAAAAATCAAGGTATGGATCCCAAATAAGTTAAAAGAATCGAGATAAGAAAGATTTTTATTCGTGTTCGGGATCTCGATCCAATCTATATTCTCTAGGCATCTATCAAACCCCAATAGATGAAATTATATAAAAAGTATTTTTTGATTTTAAAAATATATTTATGGTAATTTAAATAAACATCAAAAATATTATTTTGTTTTGTATTTATTTTATATTTTAATTAAAAACAATAAAAAAATATTTCATAACCCACCAATAGAATTAAGAGATGCCCGACGACCAAATCCATTTCCTTGTCCAAGTCCGTACATTGATTGAGGAGTTAAATTGCCTATTCTTTAATTGAAAAAATTAAATTAAAAGTTGAGAGAGTATTCAAGATTTAAAGTATAATTCTAATTTTATCAGATAATATTTCCTTTCCCAAGGAGGGTAATTTAAAAAGGAGGTTTTTTTTATAATTTTAAAAATATTTTTACACTTTTTGGAAAGGGAATTTAGTAAAAAATATGTATATTTGGCAACAAAATACTATTTTTATGTTGGTTGTAAAAAATCCAACTGGCACCTTTGGGAATGCCAAAAAAAAAAAAAATGATTGAAAAATGTTAAATGTACTAAGTCGGTCCTCGAATTTAGGGCAAAAAATTTAATAATAATTTTGGGAGTAGGTTCTGCTGTTTAGAAGGGAACCGAAGAGCTAAAGATTTTTCGTTTCGGTTCTTCGGCATGGTTTAGGATATCCGAAAATTTTCCAAGAACCGACAACCCTTTAGGGAGTCTAATAGTATGAATTCGAGATCCGCCTGTATGAAAATATTTTTTTATTCTAAAATAGGTTGAGTCCCTTGTCTTCTTGGTCCCCTACCCATCGGAGAGAATTTTTTCAAACGTGGATTCTAGGGAATAAATTGCCAGGGAATAAGTCCCTAGATTGCCAGGATTTGGTCACTGACTGTCATGTCCGATTGTTCATGCTGTGGAAAAATTGTTTGGATGGGAGATGGAATTGAACCATCACGGAAAGGGCCCAAACCGAAGCACAACCGACTGTGGCACCATCCAACCCAATTCTAGGTAATTTTCATTTATGTTCTTTCTGCAAGTGCGGACAGAACACTGACCCCTATTCCAAAAATGGACCCTATTCCCCCTATTCCTGGACCTTATTCTAAAATTAATAATTTTTTTTTTCAAATTTTTTCCAATTTACCTATTTGCAGGAATAGTAGATTGACTAATATTTTTTGTAAAAATTAATTTTTGGCTAGAATCATCGCTTTTGTATAAAAGTGGGTGATAAGGAAGTGGTGTTTCTCTGTCAGAAACTAGAGGAAATTGTGGAGTATCACTACGTTCTAATGACCAATTATTGCCGTTAAAATGTTGTTTTTGTTGATAATTTGGTGTTAAATCCTAAAAATTGATTAAATAAATATTTTTATTTATAGAAAGGAAATAAAAGGGGAGAATAATCGAAGAAGAAAAAAGATTAGTCATAATTCTCCAATGTTTTAGAATGGTTGTGATATGTATGGAAAATAAATACTAGAATGTTTTATTTATTTTATTTACTGCAATGTAGCGATGGTATTAATGGTATATTATGTATTAGTAGTAAATAAAAAGAAAAAATTCTTCAAATATTTTTAAGAAGGAAAACCATTATGTACTACTTATAAGGTGCGGCTAAGGTGCGCGATCTTTTTTTTAACTATAACAATTTTTTATGTTTGATAAGAATTGAGAATTCTTTTTTTTATTAATTCGCAACATTTTGAAACCTAAAGGTACCAAACAATAGAAAATAAGGATCAAGGATAACCAAAATAAATCTGACTGAAGGGTAGGAACCTTAAAAGGTTGGGACAAACGTTGATTTTTAATATATCGTAAAAAAAGGAACTTTGTAAATTTTCGATCTTATGACCTCCTAGCAGTTATTGCTTAATTTTCGATCTTATGACCTCCTAGCAGTTATTGCTTGGCGCTTCCGCTCACACCTAGTACAGGGTGCTCTACCGACTGAAAAACCTGAAAACACCTACTGAAAACACCTACTGAAAACACCTACTGAAAACACCTACTGAAAACACCAATTACAGGGTGATTGCTCTACCGACTGAATTCTTCAATAGGTAGAGCACCCGGTAGAGCAAGAAGAAAATTCTTCAGTCTGTAAGTAGTTCACCTTTTCATTTGAAGGATCTTAAACCTGCTCCTTAATAAGCATTTTAAACCCTAACCAGCTGGATCTTCCCTTCTTCCTTACACAATAAAAAACAATTATCAGAACAAAGAAAGGGAGAAAATAATTTTTCAAAAAAACTAAGAACCAACTTCACTAAATTGTTTTTTATTATTTAAAATGGGAGATTCTGTTCCATTATTTAATTGTTGTTGTTGTTGAGTACCTCTTTTTAATATTGGTTTTACATTTGTTAATTGTTGATTATTTAAATTGTTTTGTTGTTGGAAATTCTTTAAAAAGGAAATATTAAAATAGATTATTTTTAGAAATTAATTACAGTCAAGCCCTCACTATAAAATACCCCCTATATTAAATATACCTCAATTTAAGACGTTTTTTAAAATTTGGTTAGCCGTTGAATGGGGTGAGCCACTTAAGATACATGACTCTATTTGAGATAAACCATCATAGGGTATCCTCTATATAAAATACTACCATTATTGGAACACCTCTATTTAAGAGACGTTTCTCAAAATTCGGTTGGCTACCGGGTTGGAGAGCCACCACCTGAGAGATACCCTCTATTCAAAATAAATCTCATTATAAGAGACTCATATTTTAGCCCCAAGGAGGTGTATATTTTAATGTGAGTTTAACTGTTATTATTTTCAAAAAATCTCTTACACTTTCCGTATTTTTAGTTAAACCCGGAAGTGCCCATTTCTTCTTTTGATTCTCTATTGAAGATACAAATTCATCCTCATCATTATTATTTTCATAATTAATTAATTCATTAACATTTCCATTTAAAGGTAACCCCATTCTTTGTCTTTCTTTTGCATAAAGTGATTGCCTCAAAGCTAATAAATTTGGATTTACAGCAGAATTATTTAAGGAAGATGTTGAAGGTTCCAATTCTTCAAAAGATTTTTTTGAAGAATTTTTTAAAATTAATTTTGAATTGTGCGGGCTTTTTGAACGCTCACGATTATCTCCTCTTATATTTGGGGGAGGTGTTGGAGGTTTTGAACTAAGTATTTGGCCTGTTGGTGTTGCTCCTAAAAATTAAAGAAAAATAATTTTATCTTTAAACTATAGTAGATCTCATTATAAGATACATCCTTGGGTCTGGAAAATCGTCCCTTATAACGAGGTGTATATTAAATAGAGGGTATAGCGATAAATGTCCAGCGGACACATGCTATCCGCCACTTGGGGCTGATAAATTGTATCTTATAATGAGGGGTATTATAAATAGAGAGGTACCTTAAATATCGATTATTACTAAAAATTCCCTAATCCTATAGCCACCCAAATTAAAGAAACGTCATCTAATATTGGGGATTTATTATAATGAGAAAATCGTCTCCTATAATGAAGTGTAGCTTAAATAGAAGGGTATCACTTTAGCAGTTTCTTAACCATTAATCAACCAAATTTTAAAGAACGTCTCTTAAATAGAGAGTGTATCTTATAATGAGATCAGTCTGTACATTAAATAGAGGGTTTACCTCTTTTAACATTAGCCTGAGGTATAGGAGAATTAGAATTTAAATTTCCAAAATGTTGACTTTGCCCATTAAAATTATTTATATTATTAATTCCTGGTGCAGCACTTAAAGAACGCTGAGTTGCAAAAAATTCGTTTGTGGAAGGTAGACTTTTAGAAATTGTTGAAGAAATAAAAGAAGGATCTTTAAAAAAATATTTTTTTAATTTCCGAATAAAATGAAAACTTTGCTTAAAAAAATTCTGTTTAGCCCTCTCATTTTGTAAAAATTTATTTGCTTTTCTAAGCCCGTCAATTTCTGTGTTAAATGGCGATTTTGTATTTTTTAGTCGTTGTTCTTCTTTTTTGTATTCTTCTAAAGGATCCCCTTCACTTTCTTTTGATATTAATTTTGTTGCTTTATTTTTTAATTCCTTTAAAATTAAAAATTAAAATTTTTAAAGTCCTTTTCCAGATTATGAGTCCCCTAATGCTTAGTATACAGCAGGGACGGGCTGTTTTCCGCTTCCAGCTTTTGAAATCCCCTCCTTTCTTAGCTATTCCGCTTCTAATTCCATCTGCTGCTTTTTTAAATCCAGCAGGGCCCCTCTCTGGTACATAAGATTTTGTTTGGGTTTCGTAGTAATTGAGTTAATCATATTTTGTCGTCGAGAACTATGGGCATTTGAGGTTTTTGACTTTTTTTGACTGGGTATTAATTTCAAAATTTTCAGAAAACCATAACCAACGTCCATGTGTCACAAGCAAAAAATCTTCCTGAACTCAAACCTAACTTTGAAAACCAAAGAAAATCCAAACAACTTTAAGGGACTCAGAAACTGGACTAGAGCTCCAAAATTTAATTCAAAAATTTTACTTCAAGAAGCATTTTTTCTGCTTCTTTTTTATTTCTAGCAATAGGCTCTCTACGGCCTTTTAATGCTTGTAATTTTGAATGTAGCCAATCCTCTGCACATTCAGGGTCTGTAGAAGGTTCATCAACGTCTTTGTATAAAAATAGTCGACGATTTCTTTAAAAATTAATTTAAACTTTTAATTATGGTCATCTCACTTAAGCCTAGTGATGTTCGGGTCCCCATCCCGACTCACGAATCGGGAAATTTTCCCTTTCCCAACTCCCGATCCCGAGGTCATTTAACGACCTGACTCTCGTTTCCCGATTCGCGGGTTTTTCTTCTCCCGAACATCACTACCTATTATACCACCATGAGAACGGATACTCAACCGAGATAGTTTACATAAGGCTGAACAAAATTAAAGAAACGTCTATTAAAGTGAGAGGAATATTTGGAGGTTTATAAAACTGAGAGTATCAAGTATTGGGCAAGACCTCCCAGTGCCAGAGAAAATTTTGAAATATTACTTAAGTGGAGAACAATAATTTACTCACCTAATCAAAGGTGTAGAATTAACTGATCTACAATTTCTAGCTCTATAATCATCATCCATTTTTAAAGGTTTTTCTAATTCTTTGGAAGTAATTAAAGGGTTTTGTGGTGTTTGTGAACGACGAACAGACGAATTAAAATTTCCTTTATTATTTCCAATTAAATGTTGTGCAAGTAATTCTTTAACATCATCTCGTTGTAATTCACTTAAAAAATATAAAATAAACTCTGGTCTAGCTTATGAATACGAATATATCTAGTTATGGGCCTAGAAAAGTTCTACCTAGTTTTATGAATCAGAAAAAATTTTTAAAGGAGCCTTTCTATTTTTTTCAGATTTTCCCATGGTGCTGATAGAACAGAAATAAAGGATCTGCCATTTATAGTGGGTAAATCATCTTCAATCACAGTATAATCTCACCAAATGGTTAATCATAATTAATTTTTTGAATCCTGTCGATCATATGGTACGTACCAGGGGATGCCAATCTGATCTTAAAAAGAGGACGAAAATTGAAACACCAAACAATACGATTTCAGCGAAAGAGAACCCCTTATACTTAGTCAACCTGGGCAACCCAGGGAGCCTATAAATAGAGTCCCAAGAATTTCCACGGCAACAAAACTACGTATAAAACTCAACATCCTTCATAAGACTCATAAACTAGACCAGATCCAAAAAATCAAATTTGTACTTTTTAGCCATTTGATTAAATTCTTTTCCATCGGGAACAGATTTTGAGAGATTTCTCTCAATATTTTTTTCCTTCAAAGGATATTTTTTATTAAGAATAGGTGAGGCTGTTGGTGTTGAATACGAAAGATAAAATTCTGGGTCACACAAAGCATCCATTTCACTTCGACGCGGAGATGGACGAACACCGGGTATTGGACGACGACGTGTACCTGTTGACTGTTGTTGTTGTAAAAGTGTTGGGGTTGCTCTTTTAGCTTGTTCAAAAACCTAGAAAATTTTCATTTAGAAGGGGAGGCTAGTTTAAAATTATAATAAACAGTTAATAAATTCTTTTCAACCAGGAACAGATTTTTCTCTTGGTTTTAGGAACCGCCGTTGAGGTTCCTGGAACTGAAAACGCTAAGAAATTGGAATCGTTAGGGCCAAGGCCGCGGAACAGTTTAATTTTGTGGAACTAAGAAAATTTAGTTAATGTCATGATGGCTTTATAAATGGCTTTATAAAGCTCTTAATGGCTTTCTTCTAGCTAGCTTGTTCTCCTTTCCTTATTGCAAAATTAATAGCTTTAATTTTGACTCGTATATCATGCCCAACCGCTTACATTAGCAAGTACCTATTTTTTATCTAACTCTTTATAGTAGCTATAAATAAAAATTTTACTATAGGTTGTTCAGTAAAAGGTATTGTAGAGGAAGGCATTGATGTAGTCATTGTATTGTAATTATCTCTATGGGGCATTTGTGCCCTAGATAACCTTTGTGTTGTTAAGGATTCGTTTGGCCATTTATTTGATATTTCCCCGTTTGGTTTTTGATAATTTGAAGTTTTTGGTGTTGGCCAATTCCAATGTTGAGGTTGTTTTTGAGGTTGTTGTTGGGGGTAATTCCAGTCATTTCTGGAAGAACGGGTTTGTTGGGCAGCAGAAGGAGAACGTACAAAATCATGCTGGATATGGCCAACCTTTTAAGTAAAATACAATTCGAACTTAAATATAAGGTACACCAAATACTAGTTACACCACTATTTAATATACACATAATATGTAGGATTTCCAGGAAAGGTTAATAGTAAGATTGGGAGAGCTCTCCAAGCGATACCCTCTATTAAAATATCATTATAAAATACACTTTGTCCAACAAGGGGGTCTTATAGTGAGAGGGTGGGAGAGCTCTCTTAGCAATCCCTCTATTTAATATACACCTCATTATAAGATACACTCTTTCAGTTTCATGGAGGTATCCTATAGTGAGATCTGATTGTATTCTTGAAGGTACCCTATAGTAAGATCTGAAAAGTATATTTGTCTACTCACAGGCGTTCCAGCAGTACTCGCTCTTCTAGGGCGATGTTCAATTTTCCCACCGGTTAATTTGTCAATTTCTGCTTCCCATTTAGGTGTTTCTGTTTTTCGATATGTCTCAGAACTACAACTTTGTAGTCCAAAATTCTCTAGTGCCATCTTTGCTTCCAAAGGGCTAACTTCTAAATCTGCAGGTTCTATAACTGAAGTACGTCTTTTAAGTGATGGCTTTTTTGGAGCTTTATAATGCTCTTTTAATGATTTGGCAGGAACATAGGAAAAACAACGTGAATTGGGGTCATATCTAAAAATTAAAAATTTAAGGAGGATCATCCCTTGTCTAAATACCTTCCACTAGCAACTAATTGTGGCTGAACCATTGGAGAAATAATAACTCGTCTCCTTGGCCTTTCATCACCAGAAGAGGCAGAAGTTCCACCACCATCAGAAAAATAAAGAAAATCATTTTTAAAATTTTATATCCTTGGATAGAATTTGACTCACAAATAAACAGCTATCGATTTAATATCGGATACCCCTCCCCTTTATAAGCCCTATCACTGAGCTTATAACAAGCTCAATGAAAACTGGATCTAGCAAGTTCAATATTTTTGACGAATTCGTCGAGCCAAGTCTGGTGGTATCAAAATAGACCTGCTATGACATTTCTAGGTTTAGTCTCCTAGTCTAAGGTAAACTAGGAAACCCAGTATAGGTGTTGGATGGTGTCACATTAGATTGGGTCTGGGTTGGACTTTCAACGATGGTTGGGTTCGCGATAATCTAGCCTGCTTTCCCCTTATTTAATTTTTTTAAATTTGCAATTCTACCTTTTTCAATAGATGCATGTGGAGAACGTCTTCTACTTGAAGAACGTGCACCCGGAGGAAGAACAGAATGGTCTCTCCCAATTGTAGAATCCTCAAAAGCGCTTCTCATTGGGTCATTTTCTTCTTCCCCCTCTCCATTCATAATTTCAGAATGTTTTTTGGGGGAATAATGTTGATTTTGATTATTTAATTCCTGATTTACATCTTTTCCATCATTAACAGTTAGAGGGGAATGTTTATAAACAGAAGATGATTTTGGTGGGACTGGAGGTGGCATATTGGTTATCTAATAAAAATATATTGAAGATTGGACCTTGAGTAAATATTTAAATTTTAAAGACAGTCAGACCTCTCTTTAAGCTACCCTCAATTTTAGATACACCTCTATTCAAGAGACAATGCTTAAAATTTGGATGGTCAATGGATTGAAAGAGCTATATAAGCGATACTCCCTAATATAAGCGAAAATCACAAAAATCCCACGTGTCTCAGCCCAATGAGGTCTGTCTATAAGTTGCCTCTAGATTTTGTAAATAATTCAACTCATTAAAAATAACCTTGCTTTAAGATACCTAATATAAGCGATAAAAAAGATACCTCTAATATAAGCGAGATACCCCCAATACTAGATATACCCTCTATTTAATAGACGTTTTTCAAAATCTGGTTGATCAATGGGTAGAGAAGTTCCCTAAGGAATACCCTCTATTTAACAGAAACCTCATTATAAGTGACAATTTTTCAGCCCCAAAGGTGTCTTAGCCCAATTAGGTCTGTCTATAATTTTCCTCCAGATTTTGTAGATAATTCAACAGAAAAATTCCCCTCACTTTATTAAATTCCTGATCACTTTGTTGTTGTTCTTTTTCATTATTTTCCTCAACTATTTGTTGTTGTAATCCGTTTAACAAAATTGATTGAGATACTGCTACTTTAGGAGAATCTGAACCAATTCCAGAATCAGCCCCGTCTTGTGTTTGTTGTTTATTTAAATTATTTTTCGAAGAATTTTTTTCGATTGAATTTTCTTGTAAAATTGGCTGATCTGCCACTAATAATTTAATTTCATCATTTAATTTTTGGTAATTATCTTCGTTAAGAAGGTTTTGGCTGCAGATTCCGATAGGTAATGATAGACTACGTTCGTCTTAAAAATTAGAAAATTTTAATTATGTAAAATAAATATGTAATCAGGCCTCTTTATAAGACTCCCCTTGTGGCTAGTGAATAGTCTCTTATAATGAGATGTATATTAAATAGAGGGTATCGCTCAAACTGTTACTTACGTCCCGTGGCAATCAAATTTTGAAGTGTATCTTAGATATTATCTAGTATTGGGGGTATACCTTATAATGAGGTGTATCTTAAACAGAAGGTATCGCTTGGCAGCATCTCCATCTAGTCCTTTTTGGGGGTATCTTATAAAGAGGTCCGACTGTATTTTGAAAAACATCAGATTAACAATCCTCTTTAAATCAACTAAAATAACATTCAAAAAACAAGAAAAAAAATTCAGGGTGGGCTTATAAAGAATAACGAGACATGAAGCTAAACGGGTGTGAAATGAAGAAAAATAAGAAGAGAAGAAGCATGCAAAAATTAAATGAATGGATTGATAAAAAAATATAAAAAAAGGCTAAAGGGGCAATATATAAAAGCAAATGACTGGATCGAAAAAGTCTCAATAACAGCGGTTTTCTGTTTAAACGTTGCTTTAGATCAAGCAAAAGAGAAGAAGCATAAAAATAGAGAAAGAGAGAAAAGGGCAAAAATAGTATTGAAAGAATAGAGCTTAACCCACAAGATCACCACCCTTGGGGAAAAGATCAACACTGCTCTATGGAGGTGATCTTTTGGGTTTGCTCGAAAAATGCTTTTTGTCGTTAGAAAAATATTTCTTTGATTGACGAGAAAAAAAGAGAAGTACCAGTCACTAAAAAATAAAAAAAAGAAGCAGCCGCAAGTAGTAAAAAATCTGCAATAAAAATATCAGAGTAAAGGCACTTTTTGGCCAAAAAAGTTTTTCAACTGATTTTGTTGGAAAGTGAAAAAATTGAAAAATAAAAAAGAAAAAACACACAAAAATGATTCTGCATTTGAAAAGCTGGCTATCATAAAGTGATCGATTTTTAAAAAATAAATTTTAGAAAATGGAGAAATGATTAAAATATTGCCAGAAGAGGGTGAAGAATATTTTTTTGAATCTAAATAAATATACCTCATTTTTTGATACCTTGTTTTAGGCTTAATCTCATTATAAGATACTCCCAATACTAAATTAAAAAATTCTTTTTAAGATACATATTGCTTATAGAATTAATTGGAGAGCTAGGTGGGTGAGAGATAGGATGGGAGGGGGAGAGTTGTCGAAGCACTATCCTCTATATAAGATGGATATCACATTAAAATAAGTTTTCAGCCCCAAATCATCATATAAAAATCTGAACTAACTTAAAAGTAGGTTGGGATTCGAGTCGGGCCGACGTCCGAGTCATTTTCCAGACTTTGTGATGCCAGACTCGATCTTTTGGATCGGACCGGGCCCCAACCCTATTTAAAAAACAGGCCGAAACTTGCGGACTGACTTTTGTGGACTATAGAACTTTTTAGGAATTTAAGAAAATTCCCTTTAAAAATTCCAAATAAATTTTTTTCCTTGAAAATATAATCATAAAAATTCTGAAAATAGGAGAAAAAACCTTGCTAAAAAAGAAATAAATTTTAAAATAGGGATATACCTATTCTTGATTAATAAAAGCAAAAAATTGGAGAAAAGTTTTGAAAAACAAAACAGTTGTCTCTCCAACAAAAGAATTTATTTAAAAAGCATTTGTTTTTGTTTTATGTTTTGCTCTATTTTATAGACATGGAGAAGAATGTTAAAAAGATATAAATAAAAGTAAAATTGAATTATATAAAAAAATAATTTTTTTTTGTAAAAACAAAAGGAAATGCTTGCATCTGAGCTTATTTTCGAGAGAAGGAATGGAAGGAAGGAAATTTTTAATAAGAAAATATACATAGCAGGGGTGTGCCGAAACGGATTTTAAAAAGCGAAACGCGAAAGGCGAAATTAAATTTAAAAAGTGAAACGCGAAATGCGAAAGTAAATTTAAAAAAGCGACACGCGAAACGCGAAAGTCCAAAAAACGCGAAAATCCGCGAAAGGCGAAACGCGAAACTCGCACACCCCTGATACATAGATATTCAATATTGATTAATTAGCTTAAAAATATGTAGAATCTTAGCTAAAGTATATTAGCTAAAGTCCACTCCTTTTGGGGGTATTATTGCCAGCTAGCAACTTAATCCGTTAAAATCCTTTTATCTTTTAAATTTAAAAATATAAAACGATTTTAAATGCCCCTTACTGGCAATAATACACCAAAAGGGATTAGGTAAGAGAAAGGTAAAAGTTTAGCCCCAAGCAGGCATTGCTTGGGGCTCTCCTGTCTGTCGTACTGAACTTCTTTACCGATTGAGCTATTCCTTAATAGGTCTTACAATTAGAACGGATCTCTTTTCTCCCTTACAAGGAATAAATTCTACTATAATCTAAATTTAACTACCTTCAGCTCTTTCAAAATTTTCATAACTGTCAGCTCTAGAAAAGTCTCCACCACTTAATTGTTGATATGAACGTGGGGATGATGATTTTCCCCGTCTAGGTGTACTGCTACTTCTTCGTGGCTCACGACTCAATTCAAAAGCTAATTCTAAACAAGCTTTGTTGTCTATCGAAGATGCTGAAATGATAATAATTAAAATTCAAAGAAGGTCTTTTAAATAGAGGTGTATCTAGTATTGGGGGTATCATATAATGAGATATACCCTCTATTTAGTATACACACATAAGGAGGTGTATCGTAAATGGAGTGTATCTCTCATACAGTTCCTCCTCCCATTCAGTCTTTCAAATAGAGGTGTATCAAGTATTGGGGGTATCTTATAATGAGATATACCCTCTATTTAGTATACACACACAATTTAGTATACACACACAACTAATTTTTAAAACATCTGCTGAATAGAAGTGTATCCAAGTAATAAGACCTCCATTATTGGAGGTACCTTCTAATGAGGTGTATCTTAAATAGAGGGCATCGGTTAGTCACATCCTCCTCGCCAGTGGTCAACCAAACCTAAAAATCGTCTGATAAATAAAGGTGTGTCTCTTATATTGGGGGTATCTTATAACGAGGTCTGACAGCTTGGGGGAATTCCAGGACCACAATACATAATATAATCTAATTATTTTATACAATTATTTAAGCAATCCAATTCCATTTTTGTAAAAAATATTTTTGGAATATTAAAACATTCAATTCCAATAGCACAAGTATTAAATTGACATTGAAATAATAATTGTTTTTTATTATTATTATTAATTATTGTTGTTGACTGATAACATTTTAATAAAACATCCCCACGTAAAGATTGTTTATTTCCGGGCATTTCAATTAAAGTATATTCTTTTAATATTCTGTTAGAAATTTAAAAAAATTAGAGCGGTAGGATAAGATATGGGGGATTATATGAGAGTCTCTTTGGAGTGGGGATGGCGGATTTGGATCCGAAAAAAGTCTGGATTTAGGTTGGGGTCCCTAGAAGATTGAAGGCTAACTGGAACCGATATTGAAAGTTATGGTTCAATATCAGCTTCAAATATGCGAAGCATTGAACGTCTCTCAGATACTCAAAGGTATTAAGGATCTTATTGTATTGAAACCCAGAAATCTGCGAAGAGTTTTGTGTCGGCAACACTTCTGTCATGTACAAAAATACGCAAAAAGTGCTGTCAGTTACCTATGTCCCTTTTTTGACCTGAGAGTGGCACCAATACAAAAAACCCTAAATCCAGTTAAAAATGCCCCCAAATCTAAACTAAAATAATCTTTTAATTTTACATTTTGCCAGAGCTCCAAATTGGTTTCATTCTTTCATACAATTTTAATTTAACTGTTTGTCCAGAAAATAATTTAGACAAAGAAATGTGCAATAAAAATATTGGTGATGGATATACTTTTGTTGTTCCAGTCAAAAGATTGATAAAATAATTTACATATCTTTAAATTAATTAATTTTTATAAATCAATAAAAAACCTCTTTATGAGGTAAACCAATAATAGATACCACTCTTGTAAAAGACGTTTTTTTAAACTTGGTTGGCTACTTGTGGAGGACGATACCCCCTACAAGGACGATACCCCAAATGATACCCTCTATTTAACCACACCTCATTATAGGGTCCATAGTGTACCCACTATATTAGAGACACCTCTATTGAAGAGACGTTTTTGATAAATTGGTTAGCTCATAGTGGTGGGAGCAGCTTAAGCTATAACTTCTATTTAGGCAACACCTCATTATGAGAGACTCTTTTTCAGCCCCAAGAGGGTATTTTATAAGGAGGTTTTTATTAAATCTACAAAACATCAAGAAACACCTTTTATGTGAAGGCTGTGTATTTATTTCCATATATTTTTCAGTAAATAATTTCATAGAAAATCTGTCAGGTAAATTTTCTTCACTAAAATATAACAATATTTTAAATTTATTAAAAAAAATAACCCAGCACAAATATTTGTATAATTCATAAATGCAGCAATTACAATTCCAGCTTTAAAATAATAATTTAAAAATAATTTTTAATTTTTTTTTGAATAAAAATTCCTTTCAAAAAAGAAGGTAATGTGTGTCGAAACAGATCCGACCGAAGTTTTACGGAGTTCTTGACCCAAATCCGTTGTTTTTTTTCACGAGCTTCGAATTTTTCCGGACCTGATTTTTTCCGGATCTGATCTAGTTACTAACCCGGAATCCGGACTGACACCGGAGCTCAATTTTGCCGCGTGTAGTAATGGCCATTCGAACAAGGCATGTCTCCTTCGGAATATACCCTACTGCGAAGGGAATACCTAGTAAAGGGATATGTCCCTTCAGACTATATCCTAGTGCGAAGAGAACCACTAATAACTAACAAGGTATTTTCTCCTCTAATAAATCATTATTAGTGTTCTTAATTTTTATATTCCTAACTTTAATTTAATTAAGAAAATCACCTCTATAAATCCCTCCTTTACAATGTATAACCGCTACATTTTCTTTAGAACAATTTAAATGATTTTCTAATTGTTTACAAATGGAACAAAGCCTATCTAGTGGAGGCGCTAAAGGTTCAGGCCATCCAAATTCCAAAACATTTCCTTGTTGGTTTGCACGGCCAAGATCAGAACGTTTTTGTGAGAGATTAAAAATCTTTTTTTTGAATTTATTAAAAATAATCGTTTAAAAGTTTACTTTATATTTGTCTAAAAATGTTTTTTTCAACCGTTCAGAAATTGCTTTAATATTATTTCGATAAATAGCATCAGAACCAGAATGGAAAAGTATGGCTTTAAAAATATAACGAATTAAATAATTTATTAAAGTCGGCACTACTGTAAACTGGGATGATTTTTTGCAGACTTTTTTGCGGACTATTTTTACGGACATTTATTTGCGGACAGTTTATGGGGCAATTCTTGCGGATTTTCTTTTTGCGGACAATCTTGCGGAAAACTCTTGCGGACTCCCTTCTGTAGACTTGTTTTTGCGGACATTTATTTGCGGACATTTTTTGCGGATTTTTTTTTGACTTTTTTTTTATTTTTGGTAAAAGTTAAAGCCCGTTAAAGCCCGCAGTCTACAATAGTGCTAAAAATAAATCAAAAAACAAGAACCAAAAATTCTTTCAGTAATTTTAACAAATTGTAATCCATCTCCAAATAAATTATTTTTATTAAATTCTAAAGCACTTCCACTTAAAGAATGTTGAATATTTGTTGTTAAATTATTATTTAATATATTTATTTCACTTCCGCTACTGCTTGCACTATTTTTGTTGTTATTCTCGTTCATTTTATTTTTTTGTTTTGTTTTTAATTGTTTATTTAATTGTTTAGTTTTCTTTAATAAATTTATTTTTTAAAATTTACAACAAAAAATGAATGGCAATATTAGGAGCTTTGCTTAAAATCAAAATTTAAGTCATGTCAGTTGAATCAAATTGAAATAATGTATCCGATACCGAAGTTCAAACCCGGGCAATTTTTGATGCAAAATCCTACTAGGCTTTTTTCTCTACCCAGCCCATCTTGACTTAATGTACATCTTTAACCTAATTGGCCATTAGGAGGAGAGCTACCCCCAATATTAATTACACCAGGGATGAAGATTCCTGGTCACAACTCCCTTATATGTATAGTTTTTTCGACTCCAAGGGTGTGAGTTTTTTTTGTTTTCGCTAATCTTTTGGTGATTTCTGTTTGTGATTTCCGTCTCTGTGATACATATTAATGTTGCCTATTTTTACCAATTTTCTCCTTTATTTTCTCCAATTTTTTCATTTTTATTTTTCTTTCCCTTTTATTTTTTTACAAAAATATTGGTCACTTGGGAAAGCGCCAAAAAATATTACTTTTTACTAACCCCCTTTTTTTCCTTCCAAAAAATATTTTTTTCTTTTAAATGGTCAAGAAAAACAAAAGAGAAAATATTAAAGAATTCGGTCATTGATGCGGTAAAAATTAAAAAAAAAAGAGAAAAAATAAGCAGAAATAAGCAGAAAGGGCTAAACATATTTTTGGGTTATTTGGGTTGATCGATTGAAAAAATTTTTTTAGAAATATTTTTATTTATTAAAAGAGGGGGAAGGACTGTTGGTCACATCTCATTTATTTCAATCGAAAAAAAATTTTTTAAATCCTTTATTTATAGAAATATTTTTACTGCGCAATTTATAAGGGAAAAAGAGTACATGTGAAAATTAAAAGTGAGGGATTTGGATAATATTTTTTTTAAATAGATAGTATGTTGGACCTCGCTATAAGACACTCCCTTGAGAATGGAAAAATAGTCTCTTATAACGAGGTGTAGTTTAAATAGGGAGGTGTGACTTAAGTAAGAGTATTAGACTAGGTATATACCGTATGTGCTCAAATAATTATCCTGGTTAACGCAAATGCTGACATAATGTCCCTCTCTCAAATAATTACCCCTTTCCTATTAATTACCCCCTCCAACGAAAGGTTGAAAAATAATTACCCTGGGCAACTATTTTAGCAAATACGGTTTATTATTGCTTCACCCTCATGCTAAATTCGAATTCTGAAATTTAAAATGCCGTATGGCACTAGTGTGAGGATAATTATTTTTTCAACTTATTGCTATTTAATCGAGAGGGGCAATTATTTGAGCATATGTACACGGCATGTCAAAACCTAATTTATAAGATGCCCCGTGAGGGCAAAGAAGCTTTAGCCAGCACCCCACCCAGTGGCAAACAAAATTTTAGAAAAGCGTATCATAAATAGAGGTGTGTCTAATATTGGGAGTATCTTATAAGGAGATCAGCCACTATTTCGTATATTTTAAACAAAAATTATTGATAAAAATATTTGTTAAAAATCATTAATTTTGTGGGGGGAACGTGTGTGTGTTTGTGTAAGGTCGTGGTTAACCCCACAAAAAGTTAAGTCAAGGACGTCTCTAAAAGCTTTTAAGAAAAGTAGTTAATTAAAAGAAGGTAAATGAACACGAAAAGGTGTGCTTAAAAATAAATATTTTTTTTCATTTATTGGAAAATTTTCAAATTAAAATTCGTTGTTTTAGAGCTTATTTTGAGGGTCTTTAATACATATTTTTAGTTTCTGGACCTATAATACTGGATTTGGAACAGCCCGTTATCTTTTTTGGGTTAACTTTCGGGCAGTAAGACCCTCCCTATAAGCTACCGCCTTTGAAGTTAGACAATTGTCTCTTATAATGAAATGTGCCTTAAATAGAGGTGTATCTTATAATGGAGGTATTTTTGTATCTTAAATAAAAGGTATCCTCTAAGGCACTTCCCCTAATAAGCAAAAAAACTGAAATTCAGAAAAGTCGAAAAGGTCAAAATTAAGGGCAATAATGTTCAAATTAGAGTGATCAATGAAAATAAAATTGGTAATAGTAAAAGTATGTTTGTGGAAAAGATTTTTAGCAGCCTCCCCAATACCTTCCCCCTTCCCCCAAATGTCAGAAAACAAAAAAAAATTTTTAAATTAATTATAATAATAAAATTAAAGAAAATAATTTCTTTGCTAGTTAAAGTGATGGACGACCTTTTCCACTAAAATAAAAGTTTTGGCCAGTAAAAGAGAAAAGGGGTCATTAAATTAAAGTAATTTCTGTCAGTTGTTTAACAAATCAGTCAATATAAAAATAAATAAAAAAAATTTTTGAAAGGTATTTGAGGGAAATTAAAAGATTTTTAAGATGACCAAATGACCAATTTAAAATATATTTTTATTTAATTTTTGATCTTTTCAATTTTTGATTTGAAGGTATTAAAGAGAAGAAAATAGTGATGATTTGAAAAATTAAATTATAAAATTTTAAATAGGGATTGATAATGATAACCATTTTCATAGTTTAATAAGGTTTTTTCTTATAATGAGGTTTTCTTCCTTATAAGATACTCCCAATATTAGATGCACCTCTATTTAAGAGCGTTTTCTTTAAAAGGGGAGCCATCTAAGAGATACCTTCCATTTAATATAAACCTCATTATAAGTACCCTTTATATAATATACTCACAACATTAAATACACCTCTATTTAAGAGATACTGTTTAAAATTTGGATGGCAATTAGGTGGTGAAGCAGTCTGATGAACTATATCCTCAATTTAAGGTACACATCATTATAAAGTACGTTTTTTAAACTTCTAATAAGATATATAAGGGCCAATTTGGCCAATTAAAAAATTTAACTAATTAAAAAAATTAAATTTTTCCCTACCTTTTCAAAGTTAATATTATTTACGCAATCTGCCGATGAAGAAAAAGATTCTGTTTCAAAACTACGTTTACGGCAACAACGATTATAATAATTTTTATTTTTGTTTTTATTATTCTTGCCCAAACAAGGCATTTTTTAAATTAATCTAAAAAAATATTTTTTATATTTTTTTGAATTTTATTTAAAAAAATAAATTAATTGTTGCATGTAAAACAAAGAAAAAAGAAAAAATAAAATTTTTAGTAAAGAGAAATATCCACTCAAAAATTACAAATCAACTACCAAATCTACATAGCTTTTAGTTGATCTCTTTCTTCTTTTTTCTTTGTTCCTTCTCTCTCAAGAAAGGATAAACATTAAAAAAGAGACTTTTTCTTTTGTAAAAACAAATTATCTTTTTTAGCTTTTCTTGTATTTATTTATACAAATCAATGTCTGGACAACACAAAAGGCTTTTTAAAAATAAAAAGGAAAGAAAGGAAAAGCGCGAAAATTTGGCAATAATAATAAAAATGTATTTATTATAAAACGATATGAAAAGGTTGTATATCAGGGCTGGGCCGTCTAAAAATAAAAAGCGAAATGCGAAATGAGCGAGCCCTGTTGTATATACAGTTTCCGTTATAGGGAATATTATAGTTCCTATATTAAAGCCCCCATGAGGCTTTTTCAACCATTCCACAAAGGGGGCATGTTAAAAGGCCGTAATTAAATCCTCGTTTAATAGAGACGGGGATTTAATAACAAAACATATGGTATACGCTAGTGATGTTCGTGTATCCGGACTCGCAAATCGGGAAATTTTCCCAAGTTTTTGGCCTTCCGATCCCGATTCCCGGGGATTTTTCTTACCCGAACATCACTAGTATACTCCAGTGGTGTGCCAAAACAGATTTTCGCGAAAGATGAAAGGCGAAAAGGTTATTAACCCATTAATTTATACACCTTTTTTTAACTTGGTTACTGGTTGTCGAAGGTTGTAAATGTTTATTTTTAGTAAATAATGAACAAAATAGTTTTGAAAAAAAACAAACTGATTTTGTTAATTAACCTAATTCGGCAATTATCTAATAAAAAGCATTAAAACATCAAAAAATGTTTAATTAAAATTACAACGTATTTTTTGTTTGTTGAAAAATTAAAAAAAAATAAAAAACTTAAAGATTTTACTTCATAAATTATATTTTAGCTATAACTTTTTTAAATTTAGCTTTACGTTTTTAGCTATACTCTTAGAGGCGAAAAGGCATTCTTTATCCTAAATTGGAAGTATCGCAATGTCAGGTTCCCCCACACCCAGTGATCAACCAAGGTGTATATCTAATATTGGGAGTATATATAGAGAACGCTCCTAAAATGAGGTGTACCTTAAATAGAGGGTATTTCTTAGATAATTCCTCTAGTAACCAAATTTTAGAAACATCTCTTAAATAGAGGTGTGTCTATTATTGAGAGTATCTCGTAATAAAATTTTCTAAATAAAATTATTTAATAAATTGTCAATTTAAGATGTCAAAAAAGTGTCATTTAATTTCAATAAAATCAAGGAAAATTTTTTAAACAAAGGGACCCTGTCAAAATTAAATGACACTTCCCTTCCAATTTTGACACCTTTAATTGACAACTTATTCTGTCTTATTTTTGCTTCCTTAAAAATTTAAAGTTGAAACTTGAAATAAATATATAAATTAATAATTTAAAAATATTGAGGATTTAAAAAGAATTTTTAAACGCTAAAAAATTAAAAATTCTTTTTTTTTTAGAAAAATATGGAAATAATAAAATATACAAAAAAATAGAAGAAA